CTTTGATGAAATATTTTTTTTTTTTCAAATGTATTACCCAACAAAGAGTGGCAGTCAAGAGCTGTTTAAAACGTTTTTAAACCACTTCATGTTTTATGTCAATAATAGGGGGACTCTGCATTACTTACTGAAACTGCACATATCAAAGGTCACGGTTTTGTCGGTTACAACAAATATCTGTCAAGGCTATGAGTGAATCAGTTAGCACTTTTTAGAAATTTTTCGGTAAGATGGAAATGTATGTTAGCAAGAGGTAAGCATCTAATTATGATAATTTGATATGGATATGAACAAAGTTAGAAAGTTATTTGACAATCTGATTAAAATACAGATCTATATTTTGTTTCATTTTTTTTATACTTTTGATGGCCTCTACTGCATGAAGATCTGACCAGTTCTAGTGGGGAGTCGTGTCAGGGGTCATACGAGCGGCTTTTGACCCTATAACATCAGACATTTGATTAACCAATCAGAATTGATGTTTCTAGTAGGATACCCACAGACGTACTGTGCATCGCACGCCAAGAACGACTGTTTCAATGGCTAATCTATCACATTAACCAGAATGCGGGTTATAACAACTTTTCCAGATCCTAGTGTAGTAAAGACAAGTAAAAAGAAATTTTTAAACTATAAAAGAAAGAAACAAAATAGGATCTGTGTTTTAATCAGATTGGTTATTTGAAGACTGTCAGTTATGTTCGGCGAAATACACGAAGGGTCCAAATTGAATGGCAGTCTTTGGTGTCTGATTATTCCAGTCTACTCCGGTAGTATTCTCTTGTGGGGTATGTTTAGCCTCGTTCATTGAGTTGCTCATTACAAATGGTGCTCGAAAGCATTCTGGCATGTGATTCGTGTGCCAATTTTAATTTTGTCTTAAATATTGGATATCAGAAGCCCATCCTTTCACGGTAAGATAACAACATCAATGTTGATTTAAATTGACCGTGTTTGCAATGTCGAAGACTGTGGATGATATTGAGTTAGAGACTTGCCTCCTTTAATGTTGATTACAGCCAAAAATTGAATTTTTGTAAAACTTAAACAATATTTAGAAATGAAGAAAACCTGTTTGAAGTAACAATTGTACTTTATTTTATTTAATAGAAGGCCTATGAACTTACAATATTCAGTCAAACGATGACTTTACTATCATCTGCAAAAGCATTACTCGCAAAGAATTAAGAATTAATTAAATAACTTTTTTATGAGTAATAAGATAAATTAGTGAAAAAAAGGTGCAAAAACTTATATGTAAAGGTAGGATTGACAACTAAAATGTTTCAAATTTATTATAAAAAAAATCTATGATACATTAACACAAACAATAGTCGTCTTTTCTCTAACTCGTTTAGGAAGCTAAAAATAACTCCAAACCTTTGAAGAAAAGCCAGTTTACGAATACATTTTCAAAACCAAATACAACAGCAAACAGAACAAAGTGGTAAACTTGACAACAGAGGAAAGCTTCACAAATCTCTTTATTTACTCAAACAGACATATTTTACCTTTATCAAATTCACAAGTTGAGCCGATCACATGCTTATATATTGATCAAGATTTGCTGTGTTCATATTAAATGGTTTGTATTTACTTGGATATAGATAGGAATTAATGGTCTTATGCTTATTGATTTGTGTTGTGTCCGGTAGAAGAAACATGTCAGTGCAACACAAGGTTAAGATTATTATAAAATGGTTTATTATTGTATATGATTTAAATGATTTAGACTGCCTATACATTTCCTATGGATGTTGACAAATACTTTTGAGAATCAAACATCACATTACTAATTACTACTATTGTGCAAACCAACAGTATATTTGATATTTTTTTTATTTATGTATTAATTGTAATCAGTTGTCATATTAACAAGTCTACCTGCCCAAATAAATCACTAATTACTCATTATGACATAAACTACTAAAATCATTTAATCTCTATAATGAAATACAAACACAGGCATACAAAGAGATAATCATTGAGCTACAGATATATAGGTAACTTTAAGATTATTTGATTTCTTTTGTTAATATAAATACATGTGAATTGTATGTGTAAAACAGAATCGGTTATTGACATCAGTATGTGGTAAAAATTCAGTGAGCCTTTAATTGTGATCATGAATATGGGTGTGCAATTTGAGTGCCTGCCTTAATATGGTGGATTACTTTGGATATTAATCTTAAAGTTACCTATTTATTTCTTTTTACCTATTTCTGCATCAATGAATATATTAAGATAATCTACTATAGTATTGAAGGTATTAATAGTAAACGATATCTAGTTTTTGTAATAGTAGAATGGTTCATTAACAATGCAACTGACCATAACATTCAGTTAGCTTTAATCCATTCTTTAACTCATATATTGGATAAAATATTAATAAAGTCAGTTAATATTCATATCAATTACCTGTAAACTGAGATATTTTTGAGGTAGGGTAAACAATTAAGAAAATATTCAGATAGTTCTGATAACAGGTATGTTCATGTGGATATTTCACAGTGGTATTAGGGGTTGATTTAATTTGTCTTAACACACGTTACCAAATAGTTATAATGTCTCTAGCTCTAGACTTAAAGGTGATAAGATTTGGAGAAGTAAAGAACGGTTGGGCAGTATTCGATAATACAACTCTAACTTAGTCATATGTCTAATAAAATATGTTTTTGTCTGGCAGAAATTAGACATTATTCCTAAAAGAAACCTTGATATTCAATTGCTTTCCTGGCAAAAGTTCCACCATAGCGCACTGTTGGGAGATGTCTGTCTTCATTAGCCAGGTTGGGAAAGAAAAGTAGGATGTGAAATAGTCCAGTGGCTGAAGGGGGGGAATCGCCACTCGAGCTGTGAATTTATGAGACCAAGTTTTTCTAGACCAGTTTTTTGCGTAGATTCCGAATCTGGGTGGTGATCATGCATTTGAGGAGGCGTTTTCGAGATATTGGGGATCCAATGTCTACAATTAGTGGAAAATGTGATTGTGTGAAACAAATCGAACCATGTTATATATTAATAAAACATAAATTTCTAGCACTGCCCATCTCTAAATAAGTGTTTATGATGCCCCTGGACAACTGCTTTGATTTGTGGTGAGGTGGGGTGGGGGGGGGGGGAGGTCATAAAATTAGCGTGAAATGAGCTCATGTCGATTTAAATGAAGATTTTCTTAGAGCTTGATGAAACATCTGTAAATATGTTCATAAGATTCCCATTGTGTGGGGTGGGCGCCGAGGAAAGGGTGCCCGGAGGAGGCGGGGGCAACATGTGTTTTTGTGGACAGAAATCATTTGGTTCAAAATTGACCTTACAAGTTTAAAAGTGGTTTCTTGTTAGCCTTTTCGTTCAGTACCTATTTCGTGTGGCTTTTGACCCTATGACGTCAGACATTGATTAATCAATCAGCGTTGATGTTTCTGGGGGTTTACCCACAGTTCTGTGCAGAGCACGCCAAGAACTCGCTGTAACAGACCGCTTCATTGGCTAATTCCTCACATCAACTAGACCGCCTGTTCTATGACAACTCTTCCAGATCCTAGTCTTGTGAAGACAAGTAAAATGAAATTTTGAACCCAAAAAACGAAATGAAATAGCATCTGTGTTTTTATCAGATTGAACAAAAAGCTAACGAGAAAACACATTTCAGGTCAATCTTGAACCAAGTGGTTTCTGTCCCCAAAATTACACCCCCCTCCCCCCTCCCCCATACAATGGGAATCTTACACCCATATATAGAGGTGTGCAGCAGAATTAAAAAGTAATGTTTTTACCAAGCTCTAACAAAAACATCATTTCCCGCTAATTTTACCCCTCCTCCCCCTCCATAAATGCTCACCAGCTACCCACACTCCACCTCCCCACAAATCAAAAAAGTTGTCCAGGGGCATCATACACACTTCTCTAGATGATGAATGGAAAAATCAGTTTAAAATTAAAGATGACAAATGTAGTTTTATTTTCAACTGTTTTCAAATGATATTAGTGTAGATAAGTGTTTGTACAAGCAGATTGTTATATAAGAATTATTGATGTAGATATTGCTGGTCATATCTTAGGGATTATGTTCCAGTTTAGCTTTAGGCTAGGTTTACACCAAATCAAGGAGATCTAGATGTAGAAGGTACTATGGTAGGTGTGATCAGTTATATAATAATATATAAGTTCTCACACCCTCATTTATAGACATTTATACATAGTGTCATTGCTTGTGATTGAGGAATTTTGATGTGCAACATTAATTAATAGGAATCTATATCCAAGCAGTGTGTGATTGTGTTTAGTATTTAATATGGTGACATTTTGCTTGTGCACTGATTGGAGACTTTTGTGTTGGAAGAGCTTCACACAAAGCTTCATATAGATATGGATCGAGACAACAGTATGGTAAAACAAATATTTATTGACATGGTGAAATCCTTGGTATCAGGTGTTTTGAAAGGGGTGAACATACCTGGATTTATGAATACTGATATAATTTTTTTGTTGAATGAGCTTAAAGTAATGTGTTCACAAATAGCATTATACATGGAATTGTTTTGAACCATTTTTTCATATATTATTGACTTTAAGTGATATCATTTCTGTCTTTTTAATATTACACAGTATTAGTTTGTATTCAGTTATGAATTGTACTCAAGCAATTTGTTTGGTTGACTGACTTTACAATCTATATACCGGTATATTAAATGGCTGTATTGTAAGATTCTGCTATAGCCCTTAGCTCACTACAGTTATTCTTGAATTAACAGAGTCACGGCATTTACTTCACTGAAAAGCAAATCCGTTCAGCCATCCATAATTTTCATGTTTGGTCTTTTATTTGTAAATTGATGTACTATGCTTATATATTTGTGCACAATATAGAGGAAAATAGTTATTATTTATATGAAAAGACATCATTTTGTTCCATAATTAAAATAACTGAATGCCTTGTATTTTATATTGAAAAGGATAAATTCTATAAGAAAGGTTAAAAATCTTTTATTTTATTCTAGAGCCCGAACCTCTGTATGTAGCACCTGAGTTTGAAGATGTGGGCAATTCATTTAAGGTAGGTTGTTATTGATTGTAAGATTATAGGTAAAATGAACAGTAATTGGACTGTAATTAAACTACATCTATTGTTGTTTATAAGTATAATTGGTAAGGAAAGATGATAGAATAAATTTGACACTAATGATTGGTAACATACCAGATGCGTTCAGCCACACTATTTTAAAGAAAGTTATCGACCGATCGATAGTTTCCCCTACTATTTAGTACAACATAACATTAATAGGAAATAATTATAATCAGTTATTATTAGTTTTCTTGTTTACGATCAACAAATAGTTTTGATAAAATAACACCAAAATTTCTCACATATTAAATCCCATTACAATCTATAAACAGGTTGGTTGGCCTAGTGTGTGTGTCTCTCATGGTTTCGATCCCACTGTTTTACATGACTAGGAATAGGGTCATTTTCATAAATTGGTTCTTTGCTCCCACCGCTGAAGGCCTCTCCACGCATGTGATTTATTCAAATAAAAATATAACATATGTTAGTCCCAAAATTACCCATTTTCTATTAAAAAACATACATCTCTCTTCCTAATAAGTTCATCCATTAATTGTTTTGGACTAGATTATAAATTATACCATGACATTAAATAATTTGTTGATGTTACACATAATAAACTCTGACAGTACTGTCAGTTGCAAATAGAAATGGCCAAATAAGATTGTAGCATGTATGGCAATGTGCTGAATATGTTTGCCAACATTTGGGAGTTTACTGTACTGAGCATTTTGATTTTGAATTTTTGTATCACAGCAATAATTTGGACTCTTTTAAAGCAATTGTTTTCAAACACAAAACAATTCCACAATCAGTTAATCTCCTTTGATCCCTTTGCCTCCAAATGATGAATATATATTCTCCAAAACCTTTCATACCTGTAAATACAGACACCCTACTACGATTCTTGACCTTGAATTGCTTTGCAAAGGGTGGAAAATAAAATTCTGGCCCTTTTACTACGGTCATAAAATTTTATTGCTTTTGACGCTCCTACTCCCCTTTAAAACCTGGAAATAACAATTATTGATAGAAAATAGTGGTGAAGACCATGTGATGTGGTATGATGATGAAGTAGGCCTACATTAACATGTATGGATATCTTTCAAATAATTCATAATCATAACAAATATAAATTTACAACAACATTGAAATGTTTAGATAAGAATGTCATAATATTAACTTCACTGACATTTAAATTAGGTTGTATTTAACAAAGCATTATATTAACTTAAATAGACTAGACTCCACAAAATATCGTAAAGACAGATTATATGTTGAAATGTAAATTAAACACTGATTGTGGTTTTGTCCATTTACTTTTATCACCATGCAGACTACAGAGTTATTTGTCAAGATAATGACTTGTAAGATTTGTATGAAGTTAAACACTTTAATGGGTCATTTTGAGACTAACATATAGTATTTCTTTATGTCTATGATTACATATGCAGTGTGAGTGGGTGGGGGTCTGGATAGTAGGGTTTCTGCACACTTTTCATATACCAAATGTCTTTTATGATAAGATAAGATAAGATTTTATTGTATCATAACACCCATTTCAGGCCGCATACAATTCATATACATGACATAAGGAACATGATATAAAATAAATAGCAATATACATATATATATTTATAAGAATACGAAACATAAAATACATAGGTTCATGTTAAAAGTGAAAATATCTATCAGAAACATTATTTCAAAAATGTATAGATGTCAAAAAGAATACGAAACATAAAATACATAGGTTCATGTTAAAAGTGAAAATATCTATCAGAAACATTATTTCAAAAATGTATAGATGTCAAAAAGATAAAAAATAAAATTTGAAATTTTGCCTTGTAATACCTTATTTGGTCGAGGCTTGATTTCTACGTTGAAATGCTTTATATATACAAGTATAATGACATACACTCACAGAAACTGAAGGGGGAGGGTCAAATAGATTTTCAAACGTTATGGCTAAATTGTTGTTACTGAATGTAGCAGAAAGAATATTTAGCCTAAGAGATTGGTAGTGTGGACATTCAATTAAGAAGTGAAATTCGGTTTCTGCTTTAGAGAGGGAACAGAGTGCACATAGTCTCATATCAGGGGGGATGTTCTTGTACCGGCCCCTCTCTATTTCTAGTTTATGGGAACTCTATCGTAGTGCAGTCATAGCAGACTTGAAGTTTTTATTGTGTACATGAAGCAAATAATTAGCTGGATAGTCTATAGTAGGTTTTACAGTGCCATAAGTTCTAAGTTTTGAATTGCCAGAAATATATTCGGTTTTATAAATAGTATTGAATTGGGACCTATGGCTGTTGTGCATTACGAATTTGTACACATGATCATGTTTTTTTGCACTATACAAATCGCAAGGCACATCTGCGAAGTGAGAACTGGGGGTGAAAAATCCTGAAGACTTTTCTTGCCCTATGCCACGTTATAACAAGTAAGAGCTTTTGTTGTCTAATTGATAACATAGCAATATTTGAAAAAGGGTTTTAAAATTCTTTTTTTTTTTTCAGTCGCATTTATTTTCTCTGGGTATGACAATGCTGTATGGCGTAGAGTACAATATACAGACAGAAGAACCTAAACATGATTTAAGTCCAACTTTGTCAGATCTTTTAACCAATCTGTGTGCTGATGACCATTCACAGCGGCCATCATTAATAGAGGTTATTAAATTATGTGATGATATACTTGAAGATCGTCTATCACAGTATATTTGTAGTTGTATGATAACTAACTTTATTAGAGGAAGCCCTGTTGAAAAAGGTAATTTAACTGATTAATACATTGGTAAATCTCATATCTGACTCTGTCACACTTTTTGGAACACAATGACTCTGCTGATTGGGGTTCAGACTTTGTGTACATCTTTAGGTGAATGTCTTGACTGAGTTTGATTGTCAGTATTTTCCACTGAGTCTAAAAGAGATAAGCAGTTTGATTTGTTAATACTTTCAAACTTGATACATGTAACTTAGATTCTTATTGAGTGAAAGTGATAATTAGACTAAGTTCAATAATGAGTATTTTCTGCTTGGGTGATAAGCTATTTGATTGCTTGATGCTTTAAGAAAAGGTAAATGTGCCAGCATCATCTATTTATTTTGAATTCGAAGCTGGTAATATCAGATCTTCACTTTAATGCTTTTGTTGACGTCCAATGATATAATCTGCATTATGTCAAATCCCCTATATATTAAAAGGTCTTCCTTATTACGTTTTTGTTGGGGTCCTCTAATATAACCTGCATTATAGCAAGTATCCTATATATTAGACTTTGCCTTGTTCTGGAACTTGTTGTAAAGCAAAAGGCCTTATAGTTGCACATGTAGTATATTTAAATTAAAACAAAAAATCCAATATCTTTTATAGGAACAACGATATTAGATTTAACAGCAGGATTATCATCGTATCTTAATACACAGTCCACATCAACACCCCGACAATCAACACCTCAAGATCCTGGTAAAAAAACGTCTTCAAGTTTGACTCATGTTGACACTTCAAATGATTCAAACTATGAAAGTGATGAATATTTATTAGCAAAACTTGGAGAATCGAACAAAAGCAAAAAGTCTTTATCAGCATCGGATCAGATATTAGGTGGTAGTGATAAGGAATTAGAAGAATTGGAAGGACAAAGGTTAGAATATTCTGAACTCTGTGAAGATTCCTCAACCACTTATAAGGATGTAGAATTCTGTGATAATACTCAGGAAAACTGTGATAAAGTAAAAAGTGATATTTATACCCCAGCTTCTGCTACAAGTGATATAAATACAACAATAAACTCAGAAGCAGAAGAGATTATTACATCAACATTAATTTTAAATAGTGCAGAAATGGAGGTAAACAATGTTTATATATGTTTGTTTGTTATGTCCCCCAAAGAAATCTTCAGTCCCAACATGAACTACGTCTGGTGGTACCCAACTATAGACTTAAGACATTCGGTCATAGATGCTTCTCATACACTGTACGAAACCTATGGAATTCAATACCCTTGATCTTAAAGAATTCACAATCGCATAGCTGTTTTAAGAAGCAATGAAACACTCATCTTTTTTCAACTGCTTATGAACATTTTCTGTGTTTTTATCTTGTTACAAGCGGAGAGCTAAATGCACCTTGAGCATTAACTTTAATGGATCTGTGCGCAATATTTACATTACATTTTTATACATTACTAATCAAAATTACACATCAAATCAAATTAACTCAACACTTTTGATATAAATTCTACAAGAACATTATTTGACCACTCAGTTGTAATTTGTCTTGCCATTTTCCTATTCTAGTTTGGTATATAATGTCTCTACAACTTATAATTGGTTTTACCATGTTCTTATTATAGTATAGAACATCCCACTGTGGTTTATATTGTCTCACCAAGTTATAATCTGTCTAGGGGAGCCACAGTGGCTCAGTGAGTAAAACGTTGACTCACTAGTCTGGAGGTCCCATATTCGATCCCTTCGTTGGCCGAGAAAGTTCATCAGGATATTCCGGCGTGGTTCCCCCTTGTCAGTTGTGCAGGACCGGGGACCTGGCAAGGGACAACATACAGTCGTAATTCTTTAACTGGTTTAGATGTATGTTTTAATGCCACTCCGATATTCCACAATAATGACAGCTTCACGTTGTTATTGAATATACTACATCTTAAATAATATCATCAACAGGAACAACAAATAACATATTTCGGTTCTACATTTTATATTTAGCACTGCTACATATAGGTTACATGGTTACAAGCATTATAATAAAGTCATTCTCTCAAACCCCAACCAGCCAGACTCGGCGAGTCTGCTGATAGAGATTGCTACATCTTCTACCTTCAAGAAATACATGCCTGTCTAACAATCGCACACATCTCAAGTATTTTTCTACGCTTGGATTTTAGCTACCCATTTCCTAATTGGTCAAATTTGACGTAATTTTAATCATGTGGTCGGTCATGCTTCATGTCTGGCATACCAACATGGACTCATTACCAAATTTGGTCAACAGACACATTCCATTCTTCACCATTAAGCTAGCATATAACAAATGTGTTTATTAACCTATACTTCAATTCATGTACCATATCAGCACAGACTTCCCTTCTGTTTTCCTCACAATATTTCATAACCAATTTAATTTGCATTTCAAATAAACTCATACATGTACCATAACTAATATACTGACAATGGAGAATACACATAAAACATAAATTATCAAATAGTATTACATGCCCGTCTTCATTAGCCCTGTCGAAGCAGAACAGTAGGTCGTTAAACCCCATTTCATTTCATATAATCTGTCTAACCATGTTCTTACTCTGTTTTTTACCCAGTTAGAATTTGCCTATCCATGCTTTTACTCTTAACATAGATTGTTTCACACATTTATAGTCTGACTCATAATGCACTTAGTTTGTCACAATCTGCCATACATTTATAATCTGTTTCATAATGCTCTTTGATTTTCACATTCTGTTCTTACTCTCTAGCTAGTATAAGCTTTCTCACCATTATTTAAACAAAAATGACTTAATTTGAATTATTTGTACTTTCAGTGTCTTGACTTGTCATCAATACTAGAAATAACAAGGGAGAAACTAGACAGTCTAGATTTATGGGCTTTAATAAGTGAAGGAACAAAAGCTATACAGAAGAAAAAAAGACATTTACGTGAGTAGATGCTACAGATTGAAAACAGCATAATCTGTTCGGAAATATAATTTAACAAATAGAAATTGTTTCCAATAATTCAACTACCATAGTCCATTGACCCTGGTAAACTTTACAATTGGTGACAAGGAAAGTTTGTATGAGTAAGTCTGGATTTAATGATACACTATGTACATACTGATAGTGTATAAAGAAGGTTCCTTGGTAGATGCAATTTGAAGAGCAGACAGAAATTCCCTTCTACTCCACCCCATCCTAGCATTGTACATTCATATATACTCCCACACTAACTATAGACCAAAAACATCTAGACCAAGACTATCTTACTTTCTAGAACACAAAATATCTGATATTCATGTTGAAATGATTTCAATTTTTTTACTGTTTATCCCAGCTGCTTATATATCTCCTGATACAACGGTTATTAAAGAAAATGGAAGTATTATATTTACTGCTGTACCAGAAGGTAAACAGTTAGAAACTAAATATATGGCACCAGAATTACAACAAAAAGGAATATTCTCCGAAAAGGTAAAAACTTTTGGTATTGGTAAAAACTTGATAATGCAACAATGTATGTTTTCCCATTTAGAATAAATATTTAGCATTTGGTACATTTACATATTGACTACCCCATTTCCTTAGATAAAAATAATATAGTTCATACTGCTGTCACAGTCGTGGTGGCTCAGTGAGTAAGAAGCTAGCTCGCTAACCAAGAGGTCTCGGGTCTGGCAAGGAAAGTGTCTAGTCGTTTGGAATGGCATGGAAAATCGAGGTTTCATGTACACATTTGCGTGCACATAAAAGAATTCAAAATAATAGTAGGCCATAGCATTGCTCTCTGTGCAAAATATCTCTCATAGAACAGTGCATTGTGTATGCATGTCTTCATTATCCCAGTCAGTGCAGAAAAGTAGAATGTTAAACCCCATTTCATTTTCCCCGGACTGATCAAAACCATCCGAAACTACTGTTCCTTAGCCCACCTCAAGCTCAAACCCCTGAGATATGTGAACAACCCTCCGTATTGTAGGACTGTATACTAGTTCATCGGGGTGCCACAGCTATTCACATGATGGGGGTCAAAGAGCAATTTGTTGACGCTTTTGTACTAGTTAGCCTAACATGTAAACATCAAATAAAGATTATTTTCAGAAATGGACAGTAGTATTTTTTAGCAAATGAATAATATTATTTATATTTGTAGACATGTTTATATGGATTAGCTATGACTTTACAAACTGTTGGTGGTAATGATGATATGGAAGAAAAAATACAAGATATGTTATTATCTATGTTACATACCAATTCTGATAAAAGACCAACATTAGCAGATACTTTACATGTAGGTTATATAAAAATTATCTTAGGTATTTCATAGTAAAATAGGAAAAAAATCACCAGCTTTGTTGGAATTGATATTTCCAATGTATGCATAGGTAGATATGTCACCAAATTGATTCCATGATTGGGTGCTTAATAACCTAAAAGATTTGGCATGTTTAGCTCTGGCATATCTGCTTTCAACCCATCTTTGTCTCTTTAAGGTTCCAAAGAATAGAGCTCTACTCCATTTAAGTTTGACATAATGTGTTCACATCTATAATTTTTAACAAACATACATAAATAAGGAAAAAAATTATGTTATTTTTTTAATCACATATAGACTAATATATACATATACAAAAAAACCTAAGATAGCAGCTGCAATGTCATTTTGTGGTCTTTCTTAAAATTAGCATGTATGTGTGAAGTGAAATAAGCATTTGTTTATTTCCTTAGGTATGTAATGAACTACAATCTTTGTTTGAAGTAACATCAAAAGATGGATGTAAACAGTTACTACAAAGAGCCTGGAATTATTATGTAAGTTGTCTTAATCATGTATAATTATAATATGCAATTTCTTTGAATATTGAGATAATTTATAAGTCTGTAACTGCTGAAGACAAAAAAATGTAACATAGAATTTTATTTCCTTTGACTTATTAGCAGAAACATTTTTAACAATGTTATTTTTGAAAAAAAAATCCTATTCTTAAAAAATTATTCTTATTTATATTTAAATAAATGAAACATCAATTTTATTGACATTTAGAGTGAAGAGGAAGAAAATATGACTGATCAGGTGGAGATTTCATTAAATGAGGTATGAGACCACTTATTTTGTTCATGAATGTGTTTTCTATGCACATTTTGCATAGATGATGATAGATTTTGGTAGTTAAGGGGTCTAGAACATCCTGGGTTTAAATCCCAGCGTCGGCCAAGAAGCATCTGAAGATTTGTCAAGCCTGGTTCTCATTTGTAAGGGTAGCGCCTACAAAGCATATAAAGAGAGTGTTGCTTGGCACCAAGGTTTAGTCATGCACATAATAAATCCCTTTGCAGTTAGTATTTGATTGTGCAGAAATACAGCTGCTCAGGCAAAATAAAAAAAATTATGTCAGTTTCTTTCTATTTTAGTCAGAAGTTCAAAATACAAGTATAGAGAGCACCAGTACTCAAAGCAGTGAACCAATCACATCTATTGTAACAAAGACTACTGCACCTACACCCGTTTCTGCCTTCAAACCAATTCACCCAGAAACCATGGTTAAACCTGTTGCTATTCGCTCCCAGTCGTCTGCTTTCAAACCAGTTCCCGGAAAAATTCAAACTCTTCCTCTTAAACCAAAACCAGTTTACAGCACGGTTTCTCCATCAAAACAAGAAATTGAAGAAGATGCCAAAAACAGTCAGAGCTCAACTCCCAAAAGTTGCGATATTTTTAATGAATCTGAAAAGGGAACTAAAGTCCTCAAGAAATTAAAAGATTTGGAACAACATTTGTTACGTCATCGCTCGGTTGAAGAAACAAAAAGCCCGGAAGTAGAATCCGAACTGGTTACAGAAGTGAACAATAATGAAATTTTAGATGTCAAAAAAGGGGAAATGACCCACCACAAAACTGATGATGCTCTGGGACAATTGTTACAAAAATTTGATGGTCAACTACCAGATACAGATACATTAGCTACAGCTATTGCACAATATTTACAAACTCAAATAGGTTCAAAGGTCGAACCTACACCAGTCAACTCGGCCGTCGCAATGCATGAAATTTCACCTATTGAAAATAGTAATTCTAGAACACAAGATACAATATCATTAGCAGATGAAGTCAAGATGTCAGTAGTTAATACTGCTAGAACAAATTTATCTCAGCCTCTTTCACATCAGGCATCGAATACCTCATTATCTACAGTTACCACAAGTAGTAGCATGCAGACATTTAACATGCCCTTTCAATATGCATCAGGTCAATTAGCCTCCTACCCAGTTCAACTTCAGTTACAACAAGATCCTAATACAGGCGTAGTTCAGCTTTTCCCCATCAGTATGATGCCCTATGGAGCAGTCCTTCCTTCACAACAAACAAATGCCAGTAATAGTGCTGATAGAAAAATAATGCATTTGAATGATGTTGGCATTAAAAATAATAAATTTGAAGATGATACAATACCAGAACATCAGTCTTTTGAAAATTCAAAATACGTCCAGGGAAAACCACCGATACATTCACGAAGTGCTAAGCATCTTATCAAAAAGACTGCACAGAGTCGTGCCAAAAACAACTCTCAAGAATATATGTCCGATTCAGGAATTCCTGATAGAAGATGTTTTTCATCTACTTCAAATGTATCACCAGGGAAGTATTGTGCTGATGACAATTCTTTCAGACTAACATCGAACAATGCCAGAAAACAGATACAGTGTTTACAAAATGAACTGGAACAAAGTTTCAGCAGCCGAATGTCAGGTGATTGGCGGAATAAAGGTGATGGAACGTTTTTGTCAGATGATGTGAATTTCGGTCAACCAGGAAATAAATCATTACCAAACTTAGGCAGCAGATCTGTGAACTCATCTCCCTCGTTGTCCAAAGATAGTGGAGTCAGTGGTATTCACTTAAATCATAACAATTCATATCATGGTGATACAAGTTTGATGGACCGTCTGCTGAGTAATGATAACTCTCAACAACAAAAGATATTAAGTCAAGTTATTGAAAAACTACATGAAGATAATATTCTTGATGAAGTGAGACTAGACGACTTTGCTGTTGGTAGGTCTTAAACCATTTACGGTCTTTTCTTGCTGATTAAGATTCTGTTGAACCCATGATGATTTTAGCCTAGGGTATTATTTTTGACGATTGCATTTTTATTTTATAAACATTATTTTATTTCATTTGAAAATGGATTGGGGAACAGGCTAGGCCTATGTTGACTCCTGTCACTGATGCTCGCAGTGACAACGTTTTTCTTAAAATATTTATCGAAATTAATATTTTTGTATTTAATCAATAGCTTTGTTTACTGATTACAGTACATATTTTTATTTGTAGCCGAGTACATTACATCTCTGGGTAATCTCCGTATTGATACATTTACCAGTGCTATTTGTGAGAAATATCACCAAGCGAAATGGAATCAACAGTTACTGTATACTCTATATGAAGCAGTCAACAACAGATATCAAAGGTATTAATAAATTACTAGTTTTACATTTTTCAGAATCTACATGACTATGAAAGATGCAAGTGTACCAACTAGTACATCATATTACATCAGGAAGAACAGTCATATTGTAAATATTCTTATATGAACTATGGCCCAGTGACTTTTAAAATTTATATCCAAATATTCCCAGTATCATGACGAAGTAACATTGCATAGTTAACGATCATTATTCGCAAGGTACTGGTCAGTAGGTACAAAATGAAATAAGTGTGAATTTGGGTAATATGCAATTTTTGTCCCCCGCCTTTCGAAGAAAGCAGGGGACTATTAAAATATGTGTTTGTCCGTCTGTCCTTCTGTCTGTCCGTCCGTCACACTTTTTGGGACTCAATAACTCTCTTTCTATTTGAGTTAGAATGTTCAAACTTGGTGTAGGTGTTTATTAGGTCAATGCCTGGATGGAGTTCAAAGATGAGCATTTTCTGCTTAGGGTAAGCCGAGATAAACAATTTGATTGGTTGATGATTTGGGACACAATATCTTTAGTTCTAATTAAGTGAGAGTGGGGACACTTGATGTATGGTTTCATTACATCAATACCTTGACTAAGTTCGATAATGAGCATTTTCTGCTCAGGGTAAGTAGAGCGATAAGCAATTTGATTGGTCGAGACTGGAACACAATAACTCTCATTGTAACTGAGCTAGAATGTTCACATTTGGCGTAGATGTTTATTAGGTGAATGCCATGATGGAGTTCGATAATGAGAATTTTCTGCTTAGGGTAAGCAGAGATAAGCAATTTGATTGGTTGATGCTTTGGGACGCAATAACTTTAGTTCAAATTAAGTGAGAGTGAGAAAACTTGGTGTATAGTTTTATCACATCAATACCTTGACTAAGTTCGATAATGCGCCTTTTCTGCTCAGGGCAAGCGGAGCATTAAGCAATTTGACTGGAACACAGTAACTCTCCTAATTGAGGTAAAATGTTCAAACTTGGTGTAGGCGTTCATTAGGTGAATGCCTTGATGGAGTTTGGTGATAAACATTGTCTGTTTACGGTAAGCAGAGATAAGCAATCTGATTGGTTGATGCTTTGGAGCACGATAACTTTGATTATAATTAAGTGAGAGTGATGAAACTCTGAGTATAGATTCATCATATCATTACCTTGACTAAGTTTGATGATGAGAATTTGCTGCTTATGCTAAGGAGCGACAAGCAATTTGAAAAGGTCAGGACCTTTTAACATAACAACCCTGCTTTTAATTGAGGTAGAATGTTTAAACTTGTTCTAGATGTCCATTAGGTGAATGTCATGACTGAGTTCAATTATTAACTTTTCGAGCTAAAGCTAAGCAGAGCTAAGAAATTTCACTGGTCGATGCTTCGGGACAAGATAACTTTGATTCTATCTGATAGAGAGTGATGAAACTTAGTGTATAGTTGATAATCAGTTTGATTGCTTGATACTTTTAAAAAAAATAATTGTGCGATTAATTAATATGAGTCATCTATTTATTTTGGGATTTCGTTGGGGGACATCAGCCTCACTGTTGGCTTGTTTAATTTTAGGCAATCAAAGAATGGGCTGACAAGGAAAACAAATAATTCTGCCCACAACGAACAACGAAGAAAATCTGCTCCAATATTTGTACAGAACTTAAAGAGATCTCCAGATCCTGATAATAGTTCCACTGCTTCAGAAATCAGTTCCAGACTAAACAGTTCACATATTAACAAGAGCAGTCCATCTTTGGCATTGCCACTTACACAGAGGTCACGGTCATCTCCATATCATCAGACAAGTGGTATCAGTGAGACATCTGATTCCACAGATACAGAGAGAATTGAGAAGAGACGGAAATTTAAGAAACGATATCAATTAGATAGAAGTAAAAGTTCTTCCATGAACAATTTGGGTGCCAATAACACAACTCCTCAGTTTTTCGTAAATAGCCATGCGAATCAGAAGGGCTCTGAAACCATTGCTTCTGGTAACCATAGAGATCAATATATGCCAACGTTTGGATTATCCAGAACTGTGCATGCCAGTTTTAAAATACAAAAATCAAAATCGGCTTCTGTAAATAGTAATATTGTGGGTACAAAACCAGAATATTTATCCTTGAACGGTCAAGACTCCTGTGATATACCTCATAATATAGATATAAGAAACTGTGATTCATCTAATGATAATAGAAGTTCTAATGGTGTACATAGTAGGAATGCAGCTAAAATAAACCAGTCAAATTATCAAAGTGATTCTTCAAGAAAAATCTCCTCAAATAAAGACATCTCTTCACCTACAAACAAATATTCTTCAGTGCGCAGTAGTGACTTTAATCAATTTTATGTGAAACCAAAAGAAATTGATCAACATTTTAATAGTTTACAGAGACGTTCAAATGGTGATTATCATAATTCTGATTTTGGCAGAGCTGATAGTTATATTTCTGATCATATTAATTTACAACAACAGCATAGTATCAATCAAAACTTTTATAAGAGTCCAGATAAACATTATTCTGCAGATGAACTCTCCCCTCCTGTAGAGTTGCAACCGCACTTTAAATCCAATATGGCTTCTTTGAACCATTCAACATTTACCTCTCCAGCCAAGCCAAACATTCGACCATTAAGTTCAAATACCAAGGAAATGATAAATAGAAGATATCTATCTAAAAATAGCAGTGATTCGGAGGGAAGTTCAAGTCGTAGTGATACATTACCTGTAAAAGGACGCCATGATATTGTCACTAGATCCAGTACCAGCAGATCTTTAATAGTTCTGTCTGAAAATGGTAATAATGTGCCATTAAAAGGCAAAGTTCATATTATGTATCACTGGACGGCTATACAACATAATATGACCACAGAAGTAGAATCCTTCATCAATCAAACGGTAAGTTTTATAAAAATATTGTTTATTGTAATGTTGAAAAGTGCTCTGCCCGCAACAGAAATATAACTATCCAGGGTGTCATATTCTCTCATGGTTAGTTGTGTTGCTGAATGGTTAACTTAACATATGGGCGTTGGATCAGAAGGTCTGTCATTGTGGTTTCGATTCCCTGCTTGTACGTGATAAGGAGTAGGGTCGCCTGTCCAACCTCATGGGTTTTCTACAGGTCTTCCGGTTTCCTCCCATTGCTAAAGACCACTACGCTCAAGCGTATTAATGAAATAAATTGAACCATATGTTAGTCCCGAAATGACCTAGTTTGTGTCGAGTGGACGTTAAACCCCATTTCTCTCCCTCTCTCATATTCTCTCAGTTTTCGTCTATTACCTCATGTTTAGTGAGTTTTATAGACATATACTGCATTGACAAATTAAATCCTGCCAAAACTTAAATGAGCCAGTTTCTACACTTTTCAGGGAAATATCAATCTTTTTTGACTTCAGTTGTGGTTTTCCGTTGTATTTAAAGGAGTTCATGGATAAAATGGAATTAGATTGTTTTGTTGTTTTGTAATGGAGAGTGTTTTGTAAAACATAAATGTTGTTTGATTATTTCACAGGACGAGAAAAACAGAGCGGGCATTGAAACAAAACTCAGTTCTGTAGAGCAGCAACTTGGTATGGAAAAGAAAATGCGAAAAAAAAGTCAGAAATTCTACAAGAAATTGATAGATCCAGATGTCAAGAATGGAAAAGGTGAGTAATGATGAGATGCTACCTGTACCGCTTTATACAAGATGGACGCGTCTACTCACTATTTAAGACCAAGTCCATATTGGTACTGAAATAGGAATTATACAAAACCAAGAAAGAAAGCAAATTCACCACAACTAGAACCCCATTCATTGGCTTTGGTCGTCAGATCTGAGCAAAAGATCCCACTAAATGATCCTCTTATAGCGAATATACACACAAACATAAAAACTTTCTCTTAAATATAGAGAGATTAAGGTTTTGACATTTGAAGCCTTTAGATGAATTCTCTATAGGATTGTAGTAAGGGATTTTCTTTATTAATGTTAATGTTATGGAGAATTATTAGTACTATAGACATTGCTTTTACAGGAGATCAAAAAGGTGTGGCCAGTCAGGTATTAAAAGATTTAGAAGACATGACTAAGAAGGTTCACATATTACAATTGTTTAAAACACATTTACAGGTTAGTATCAATTATAACTCTTCTAGGCTTTTAGGTTGAAGGGTGGGTGGGGGTTGGGGTGTGCACTTTAGATCATAAGGTTTGCCACTGAGTCAAGTGGCGTGATTTAGCCCTGCCCCCCACACCTGTACTTGACAAGGAGTAGGGTCCCCAGCCTAATCCCATGGGTTTTCTTCAGGTCGGTCATCTGGTTTCCATCCACTGAAAAGAAGTCTATTGTACAATATGTTAGTCATGAAATGACTTAATTTGTGTTGAGTGGACGTTAAACCCTGTTTCTTTCTCTTAACATCTAGTGATTTTGATTTTATGCTTTACTCAGAAGTAATATTGCAATGTTTGAATTATGTTAGTAGGATATAATGGTTATTGCATAATTAAGTGTGGTTTAATGGTCGAGAGTGAGACATTAAGTAATATATTGATACTCCATGATTGCATTAGACAGAGTGTTGTCTCAATATATCATGCAGTGTCTTGCTAGAGAACATAAAACGACTTAAAATACAGACACTATCCCAGACCAATATTTCATCTAGTATAAATAATGTACGATTGGAACTCCTTATCACTTACAACCAGGGAATCAAAACCATGCCAGTTGATTAAATGACAGACCTTATGATACAGCGCACACATGCTAACCATTCGGCCATCCAACCCTCCTGGGTATAATTGGTATTGTATTATTATTATGTTAGTTTGGTATAATAGGTATTAATAGTGGTTATTGTATAATGAACTTTATTTATTTATAGATGTTATTAGTAGAACTATATGGTATAGATGAGTGTTTTTGCTATAGTCTAGCATTAGATGTATCTAATGATGTATTAATATTACAACCATATGAAGAGAATCCACTATTGCAGTTTCAATGTATGGTTGAACCACATACCGGTTGTAATATACAGGTCTTACAGGCGGGTGAACCACATGCTCTACTAGCTTATTTATTCGTATCGTAAGTACTCTAGTTTGAAATTCTTCTACTGGGTACAAATTCCTTTAATTATATACATTAAGATAAACATAGATCAGAACTTATCAGGTCATGTAAATAAAACATTTAATAGCAGTAAAGGTCTGAAGTGCTAACTTTGATACCCATGGTAACAAATCCTGTCCAGTGAGTTTTAAATTAAAACATTCCTACCAAACTTTAAAATGTAACTCTGTGAATTAGGATTGGGAAATTAAGAATATATTTCGATTAGTAGGGATGTCTAATAAACAACATTATAAAGTCTGGAAACATGCTGTTGAGAATGTAAGGGGTGGCACCAAGTTTTCAGAAACAACCCAACTACCGGTATACAAAATTTGATCAAATTTGATAAAATTCCATCAACAAATTTGTCCTATATTGCATTCACAAATGTTATGAGTTTTTTTTTCAACATCTTAATCTGTCTTTGTACATATTTGACAATATTGTTTTTTTTTATTTCAGGTCAGCTGTAAAGGATGGATTTGTTCACCAATTTTTGTACTGTTACCGCTATTTTATAACATCCGAGAATCTGTTAGATTTTATCTTACATAGATATACAGCTGCTCTAAGGTAGAATACTGCATTAGTATTTATGATATAGAACTCGCAGAATTATTCAAAATGTTTATTTGGATTTCTGTGGACTGAGTTTCTGTTTGTCATGGGATACAGCTCTTAAAAGCTCAGATAATAAACATTGGCATAAAAAACTTAAAGATATTATTGGTGTGTACATTCATTTGTTTTCTCCTCTTTATATAAGTCACTTTTTCAAACTTACAGGTCAAAGCCAGGAGACAGAAAATTGTTTAAAATTAGACAAAGGGCTTTGGACATTCTTCATTTTTGGGTTGAAGGATTTTATAGTGTTGATTTTGAATCCAATAAAACTCTGCTATTCTGTCTGGAACAGTTTCTAATGTCACAGGTAAATATTTTAAATGTTTATTGTTATGTAATTGTCAAAATATTAGCTGTCCATGATATTAAATTTTGTTGCCTTGTATTGTATTTTATGGTATTGATGTATTGTAGGGAGCCACATGGTGGCTCCTGGTGTTTGCAGAGAAAGTTCTTCTTAATTTTCCGGTGTGGATTCCAATTGTCATTTAGATGGGGACGTAAAACAGATGCCCCTTGTACACTTTGGTGTGCATGTAAAAAAACCTAGACAGTTGGAATTTGAAAAAAAGTTTCCTCATAGCACATTGCATGGTCTATATACCTGTCTTCATTACTCTGGTTGGTTCAGAAAGTAGGATGTAAAATCCCATTTTATTTCATTTCCATGATGTACTGTAAATTGTGTCTGTTTTGTTGGGTAAGTTTCTTGTATTTTCTAATAGTTTTTCACAATTAATACCTAAGGTAGTATATAATATCCAATTTGATCACTCATTCGATTTGATAGCTCATAATCTTTTTTCACAAAGTCATTTTCATTGACCAGTTTTGATTATTCTGTAGATCTAACATATTAAATCTTTCATTAATATTTCAGATGTCCAAGAGTGATGAGAATCGGGATAAAATAACAGATTTATTAAATTTGTGTACCCAGGGTATCCAGCTTAACCAATCAGCTACATCTATAGATGAGAAAGATGAAGATGAACCAACATTATATCTTAAACTTGATTCACCTAAAAAGGTTTGTACAAGACACAATTATTTTTATCCTAATTTAAGACTGCTTTAACCCCCCCCCTCCCCCCCAAAAAAACTGATGATTAGAAATTTGTACAATAAGGAACTCCAGTGCAACATATAATCAAGTAGTGATCTAGCACATGATTAAATGGTCACTTATAAGAGGATCAAAAATATGTTGTAGACATCTACAGTTAGTAGGCCTATTATCATTTTAATCAAAATATTTAAATCATTTATTTCTTTTATTTATATAGCTTAAAGATGCAATTATTGAGGTAAAATATATATTGGAGGAATAATTTCTGTATTTTTTGCTTTTGTTTATAGCAACATTCTAGTTTTGTTTAGCCATTATTTTTATTTTACTTTTTGTTGATAGTAGTTTTAATGTAATTCTAATGTTTTTTGTTGTTTTGTTTACTTCATATATACAGTTTTATTTGAAATATTATAGGCCTAATTAGATTATAACAAAAGTTTTTTTTTTTTTAACAGTAAAATAGCATGGTTTTATTTTTACTTTTGAGATATTTGTTGTTATCTTTATAATATATTTAAAAAAAAAAAGAAATTTGATTCAAAGCATTTATGATTTAGATTTGAATTTGTCTGATTTGGTAATCAAAATGTTATCTATTATTTCCTTGATCAAACTAAACTGGATTATTGCTTCAGATACCGTTGCCTTTTTGGAGATTTGTACAGAATAACAGCTTTTTATTAATAATTCCCTAAATTAAGAATCACCAGCATCAATATCAGCTTTAGGGTGACAGATGCTTTACTGGTTTGGGGGAAATTTCAATGTTTGTATATTATATGTGTTGTATAACAAAGTAAATAATGGTTGGGGTGCTCAAGTTTAGATATGTCATTGATTAAAGGATGTAGTAAGGTTTTTGAACAAGTATTACAGTGTAGTTAAACATCGTTTCCGAAGGTGGTTATAATAGCCTTTCTTATCTCGTATATTATATATATATATGCATTTATATCTGCACCAATTGTCTGCTAGAATTTCTTCATAGATATTATAAATCTGAACTTCATTTCCAGGTTGGTTAACATGAATTTGAAAATTGTAAAAAAGAATATATGCTTTATTTGTTTTTGAAATTAGGTACTGTGATTAAAACCGTTTATATTCTTATTTTTTGCATCTATTTTCAGTGGAATTCTTTTAAATCTTTAACGAAGAAGTCACCACCTAAACAGAGAGTACAGTCATTTAAAGACCTGACATCATTGACTAAAGGAACATCCAGTGATATTGATGATGGCTTTTATCCACGTGTTAGTAAGAGAAACGACACATTTACGATATTAGATTATACACCACAATGTTTGGTAGAACAGCTTACATTGATAGCTCAGGTAAAAATTCTTTGACTTATTTAACCCAAAATTGTATGGACATCAAATTCTACAATTTATAGTGACCCATATATTTGACTGTCTATCACCAACATGTATATCACCTTTTGTTTATTAACCTACACTGACTTTTGATTACAAATGAATCATCTTTACAATCTTGCTGTTAACCTCAACCACCTGGCTCCTTCCTACAATTATTTAATCACAAAAAATTAAATGGATTATGCTTTCATTAAACCATTTACAACTTCAAATTCCAGAATTTAAACTTGTTTATTGTTGTTACAGATGTATGTCTGTGTTTGCAGCAATCGTATGGAATAAACTTCAAAACAAAATTACAAATATCCATGGGGGGTTAGCACGTGCGTGCTTTATCATAAGGCCTGTCATTGAGTCAACTGTCGTGGTTTCAAATCCCCGGTTGTACGTGGCAAGGAGTAGGGTCGCCTGTCCAATCTCATTGGTTTTCTCTGGGTCCTCCGGTTTCCTCCCACTGCTAAAGACCCCTACGCGCAAGCGAATTATTGAAATAAAATTAAACCATATGTTAGTCCCGAAATGACCTAGTTTGTGTTGAGTGGACATTAAACCCCATTTCTCTCTCACAAATATCCATGCATTGATGACTTTCTGGCACAGAAAGAGGAGATAAAGACTAATTTCACAGCTTGCAATTGCCTGCTGGAATTTAAGCTGGTGAAAACTGCACAGGTCTTGTCTGACTATATAATATAGTCTACAGATTACATCTCTGCACATGGATTCAGTCTATCAAATGTAAATGCACATTTCACAGTAAAGGCTCACAGTGTAAAATCATATATCATTTATTCACAATTTATCATCCATAATTTCAGGATATATTCCATTTGTCTCACCCAATACAGTATTTAAATTCTAAAGCAGATGGAGTATGTGTAGCACTATCATTACCAGGATTAAGAACACCATCTATGTTAAGGTAAATAATCTGGGACTTATCGGTGCGGCCTCCACGATTCCTTGTGGACGCTCTAGAGGCTAAAGTTAAAATCCGATTGGCTTAAAATTTATGCAGTGTTTAAGGTCATGAGACGAAGAAGCCTAGTTACTTCTGAAGTTATGGCCCTTGACCTCTTTGAAAAATCTTGTGGACTTATAATAGAGGCTGAAGTTAACATCCGATTGACTTTAAATTTATACTCAGTATTTATGATCATGAAGCATAGAAATCTATTGATTTTCAATAATTTCCAATAATTACTGCCTGAGTTATGGCCCTTTGCCTCATGAGAAGTCTTGTTGATGCTCTACAGACCAAAGTTATCATCCAATTGACTTTAAATTTATACATAGTGTTTATGGTTCGGAAACGATGTACCTTATTGATTTTTTTTAACAATTTCTGATAATTATTGCTAGAGTTATGGCCCTTGATGACTTTGAAACATGTTGTGGATGCTCTCAAGACCAAAATAATTATCTGATTGACTTTAAATTTATACACATTGTTTAAGGTCATGAGATGACAAAATCAATTATTTTCAACAATTTCGGATAACTTGAACAGCTAAATTCATGCTATTAAATGTTTAGTATACTAAATGTTAGCATGTGGCCGAACTAGAAGCCAAACAAATTCTAATGATTTCTGATAATTACTTTTAATGGGTTGTTACTTTAAATCAGATTTGAGTGTGTTTGATTACCGACAAAAGAACAAATATATACGACACCCCTTGTTGACTACTCGGACGACTTAGCTGCTGTGGCCTTATGTTTTGTTGCCTGCCAACCTATCTTTATAGCTTTTGTCGAAATTTCTCTGTTCAATATTTTTTTTACTATTAATTCCCTGTCCAAATTCATCTCATACTCAAATCAATTATGCTCTTTATTCTCAAGGAAATTGGATAATGTAGAAACTAAGAGCTTATTTGTTGGTGAATGGAAATCATGTAAAATATTAGATCAACTGATTAGTTTATCACACAATATATCTCAGTGGGTAGCTGGTGAAATAGTTAGTTGTAGTAATCCTAAGGTCAGTACATTATTCATCTGGAAAATTGTATAAACTAATTTAATTTAATTAAACCCCCAAATCATTCACAGCTATTGTCATTTCCGTCTACGGTATATGAATTCCTTTACTTTTTCTTGTCCTTTGCTTGGGTAGCTAGCTATATGTAGATCAACCAAATGTTAGAATTAAGTATTTAGCAGAGCAGTGATAGCTCAGCTATTAAAACCCTGGCTCGCTAACCGGGATGTCTCGAGTTTGATCCTGCTGTTCATCTGGATTTTCTAATATAGTTTCCTCTTGTCAGTGGTGCAGGATGGAGGGCTGAACGTGTCTAATCGGTCTGATGTGTATGTAAAAGAACCCTTGAAGAGTAGGCCATTGCACTGCTGTCGGACAAACTTTTACTCATAGCCTGGATGGAGCAGAAAAGTAGGACATTAAACCAAAATTCATTTTACGTCTGATTTATGATAATTATACAGGAGTATGGTATATCCAAAAAATTAATACTGGACTTGTTTATCTTCATTTTTGTACATCAATGAATAAAGGTCTATCAAACACATGGAATATTATTTATAATTATTTATCTTTTGTCTTGTATTGTTAAGGTCCAGACACAAATTCTAACAAAATTTATAAATGTGGCTCAAGTTTGTGAAGAAATAAGGAATTACTTGATGTGTATTGCCGTTATTGAAGGCTTAGAAAATCTGATAGTTCGTCAGTTACCTATATGGAGAAATATCTCATCTAAATATATAACAATTATGGAGAACTTGTCAGCTATGAAGGTAATGTATTATGATACTAAAGTAATAGGTAGCTCATTACTTCAGTCTTCTTCAAAAACATGCTATCATTTCTTTTCTTCCTTATGTGAAATCGATAAAGAATAGGTGGGAACTCATTGCATACATGACCATAGAAAAAATAATGGATTTTATTCTCAAAATAACTGAAGTATTGTGTTCATGATTCGTTAAACTCTATATTTCCATCTGTCCTGCTGTTTATTCTATTTTTGCTGGGTATAAAGTTAATTATTCAAAGACTCGCAGACAGGCTTCATCATCTATACAAACTAAAAGATCTAAATTGATTAGAAGATGTCTTGTCACAAAATATATACAAGCCCTAGTAGATTAAAACAACAATATATCTACATGCAATAGGAATTTTTTTTTGAAAAATGGATTTCAAAAAGTTTTTTGATTGATCTAAAATCAATCTTATGGATTTGTATTATAATTGAAATGTGATTAAATTGAAATGTTAATGGTAGAATGATTAATATATTTCAGATGAAGTTAAAGAGTGAACCGTTTTATTTGATTAGAGATATGAACTTTTATCAATATCCTACTATACCTGATGTGCTGTATTTCTTACTGCATGTACAACAAATGGAGATGGGGAATTTCCGTTTAGCTAATGGTTTGATGAAATGGACTAAAATTAGGTTAGTAGTACAATTAGTCATTGCAATTTTCTAACTTTGGTGGATTTGATGAAAAATTTAATTTTACAGTTTGATAGAAATTGAAACAACATGATTGGATTATTATACCAAGTGTTTGTAGGCAAGGCTGTCTTTCCATGAACATAGACTTTCTACAATAAACAATATCAAAGTCATATTTTTAAAAATTATTCTGTGAAAACCCCCAAATTTTAATAGATCTATTAAGTGTAATTTGACATTGCTAAAAAAAGTCAAATGTTATGTAATTTTTAGAATCAACTTACACACTTTAATGTTTAGTTATCGATTTTTTGTGTTACAACAGGAAAAACAAAGCATTTTTTTTATTATTAGATTAATTATTTTATGGGAACTTACATTTGCTGAAGCCCCACTCAGTGGGACTGATTGTAGGATAACATGTTCGAATACCATGCCCATAACATGAAGCTACTGATTGACATTTCATCTATTTTGACAAATTAAATGTGTATATTCTATTTTATTTCAGAACTATTGTACAGCTAATAGATCAAATCAGAATTTTTCGTTCCAACGAGTATGGATTTGAGCCAAATTACGATATCCAGGACAATATTTTCCAGAGGGTTGACGAATTCACCAGTCAAGATATACAATCTATTGCATCTCAGAATGATACAAACTTTAGACGTCTATCGTCAGGTGGTTTACATGGGGTTCTCAGGAAAGTCAAAGACAAGTTAGGAAGCAGGAATTAAATCTAAAATCGAAACAGAAATATATTAAATAAAAGTGCTTTTTTGACATTGAATTATATGTTAAGATGCAGATGACATATATTGATGTGTCCTCCAACCAGAATTCTGAATCTCAAATCTGATTGGTAATTATGCAAAGAGATATTTAGTATTAAAAGTAATGTGTCTAAATACAAACTGGAATATTTTTGTGATAAATTATGTATTTGCTAAACATTCTAATTAAATCCTCAAAGGTTGGATTTGTCTCATTTGATTTCCTTACAAAGGTAAAATATATAGGCCCTATATATTAAAAAGCACACATTTATTTATTTGTTAAATATACATGTATACATGTTTTATACAGTTATATGTATTAAGATCATTGATTTATACTTTGCTGTATTTATGTAATATCTATGACATTAATAAATAGTATAACTATAATATGAAATTAACCTAACTTATGAATAAAAAGATGAAGCAAGAAACAAATAATGAAATTAGTATTTCGACAAATATATCAAATTCACATACATATCAATATTATATTTTATTATTAATATTTATGTAAGTTTATTATAAGTATTATACAGTGCCTGTGATATTATATGTTTTCTTTTTGAATGATAATTTGAAAAAAGAAATTAAATTCTATATATTTACTTACTAAAGAGTTTTAATAAGTTTTATACCCCAGTGTACGTAATATGCTGTTCCCCCTTGTGTGTATCTGTGTGTCACCTACAGCCTGCAATGCATAACAGATTGTCTTATAACTTGGCATACTTATTTCGTTTACCAAAATAATTATCCCTAATGTTTTTGGTCAGCGTGACTTAATTAGTTTCGAAATTATAGTCCCACAATTATTGACCCATGAAATTTTGACAGATCATGCAGCTTGAAACTCGGCATATTTACTGGTAATCATTATGATGATCCCTATTGTTTGTGGTGTAATTATGTGTGCTATTATAGCCCCTGCTTCACAAATGTTATGAATCACTTACAGGCTGCAATATTTTACCTATCTCTTTTGATTTTGGTTCACCTGACCTAATTAGTAATGGAGTTACAGCCCTCTTTTTTTATATGTCCACACTAACTATTGTAGCTTGCAAGCAAAATTCAGTGGGGTTGTGGTAGTTGAGATAACTAATGCATGCACTTTAGACAGTGATGAGATCTCAAAATTTTTTACTTGTCAGACATTTTTTCCCGAAAATAAAGGGGCAGAACTCTTATCATTATTTAAGCAGCCTTTTTCAAACCACAATTAAGAATCATGTATCAACAAAATATTCAAATTCATACGTAATAAAAGATAAGTGCACCTCGTTATCTAAAGTCTTTAGATCATAAGGCTTGTCCTGAGTCAACTGGCATGATTTTGATTCCCAGCATATGCATTGATTTTAAACAATTTTTTCTCCTCAAAAATTGAAGGGATTGAGGACCACACATAGCCTATATGACGATAAAAAGTAGGGTTGCCTGTCCAACCTTGTGTGATTTCTCCGGGACCTCCGGTTTCCTCCCACTGCTACAGACCCTGACAAATTATTGAAATAATATTGAATCCATGTTAGTCCCTATTTCTCTCTCTTTTCATGCCACATTGACAGTGCCGGATTAATTAAGGCTCTGCTGGCCCTTAGGCACATTTTGATAGGTGGCCTGAAAATACAGATATGTTGGGCTCATTGACAAAAGGAATTAAGTTAAATTTAGCAACAGAAAATTTATTAATTCTAATGTCAATTGTGAAATCAATGAAAATTTAAAAAAAATATGAAATTACTTACGAGATTCTTTCCCACAACAAATGTAAACAAACCTCACGTGTGTGGACGAAACATCATATCATGTCAACCCTTTGCCAGAGTATGGAAAGCTTTTAAGGACAAACGCGTAGATGAAGAAGGATGCAATTTATTTACATAAAAATAAAGGCAAGCATTTTTGTCACCACCTGATAATTATCAAAAAAGTTTTACTTTATTATTTTGTGGCCTGGGTTTTTGGCTGGCCCTAAGGCACGTGCCTTATTTGCCTTATGGTTAATCCAGAATTGATGCCGCACCCACTTTTATAGTAAATTTTTGATTTTAAATATAGGCCTACCATATACAAATTGTAGGTACATTTTCTTTGTGTAGACCAACTTTAGTTAAGTCTATGCTGACACTTACATATGCCAATCTAAGGATAACTGTTAGACTGCCATCACAGTCCACAGTAGAAAATCTGTCAATGTGAGTTAAACAGGAATTGTAACATGGACCGGAAATCTTCCTTTGTTCTTTTCATTGAATAAGCAGATTGTTTTCCCTCTAGTAGATTGGGTGGAGCTTAACCGTGCAATAACTAGACATGTTTAATGTTATTGCACTCTTTTGCTGGTTTACACTAGTTTTAGTAGAGAAGTGGCCAGGTGGGTTTTTTGTGCAATAACAACAAGCATGTTGAGCAGGTGTCATGTTACAAGTCATTTATAACACGCTTCATTCGGTCTCGATGTTTAAACCTGTTAACTCATGAAAGCCGTGCTATAAATATAACTTAGAAAAGTTGTCATTAAAGTAAAGCTGGAATGTGGACCTATAACACATTCTTAGGGTGACTCTTGTTACACCTTAGATCTGATTTGAATGCTATTAAATAAACCAGTTTATCATAATCCTCTATTAAGGGACAATAAAGAAGGTAATTAATGGTAATTAGTGATTCATATGATAATTAATGCCAAAAATACTCTCAGGCTTTAAGTACTGAATAATCCTTGTTTAATGAGGCCTATTGTCGGACAAATCATGAAAAGTTTGATGAAATGAATGGAAAACTAGTATATCTGTATTTAGCAGTCACGCTGGCATCTACATAGGCCCTACTAATTCATTTTCATAGTCATTCAAATCTACTAGTGGATTTTTGTAAGCACATTGTATGCATAGGGGTATTTAAAGGTAGAAGAGACAACTTGCAAACCTTGAAATAATATTATGAAGACTAAGGGGACATAATCAACAGCCTGAAAATTCTCACATTTCTACAATAACTAAAACTGGCAGATATTTGTTACTTTATGATCATGGAATGTTATTATTTAATCATATCTATCCTCTAGTTAACTACACATGATCTAATACACTATTACTATATTATTACAACCAAAAAGCAAATAAAAGATAGTAGGGGAGAGCGGGGCACAGTGGGCATGATTTCTTTTTTTAGTGAATTGACCAGATGTGAAATCCTACAGAGAATCAAACTATGCACTCAATTGAAGCCAGTCATATGTTCGATTTAACAGTGCTGTTAAGAAGTTAAATTAAAACCATTTTTGTGTAGATAATTGTAAAACTGAAATTTTTTTTGACCCAATGTGCCCCGTATGTGGTGTACACTGGGTCACCCTATGGGACACAGTTGGCCATCAAGTATGTTTCTTTTAAAAAAATGTATAGTAAACACACCGAAACTCATAAGAACTGTAAAAAGTAAACTTTTAGTTCAAAATATGAATTTGTTTTAAGACTTACAGATATGCTGCTGAAAATTTAAAAAAAAAACAGCTTAACATTGAATAAAAAATTCTTTAACTGGAGAAAAAAAAACTTTTATGTGAAAAACTCCTATGACTTGTAAGTCAGTAAGGATTCGTAACCTAGGACCAATATTTCCTTAAAAACAGCTCAAATATCCAGATTCTGTTTAAAATGGACAGATGAGATTTAGCTAAACTCGAAATGCTTATGCTCAGTGTGCCCCTCTGTGCCCCGTCATCAACCATGTCAGAAAATCGAAAATGGCAGGAAGACATGTGATAGTATTATGAAACAAAATATTTCTAATGAGAGTCAAATACTATCTCCTTCACCTGGGATTTCAAGTTTGTGGACTCTTACAAAATCTGGAGTAGCCAAGCAGTTTAACCAGTCCGCCAAAAATTCACTTTTGCGTCAGAAAAACAGTTAATGGCCGATAAATATCAGTCAGCTTATGTGAATTTATTGAATTTAGGAGGACAAATGGGGGCCGTATAGGGGAATTCCCCAGTGATGTCACAATTGAATTTTCCCAAAACAGTTAAAAATTACAAAGCCTGGCTTACTGTGCCCCATGGCTTACTGTGCCCCGCTCTCCCCTAAACTAAATATTACAAAATAATAGAGCTGACTGCATGTGTACACAAGAGATGCATTTATCAATATGTCTAATATGTTTACACAAAATTCATTAGCCCATTTGGAGCAGAACAGTAGGACGTTAAACCCCATTTCATTTCATTTACAAAATGTGAATTAACCTATAGTTCATCTTGGACTTAAAACGGAATGTATGAAATATACACCGTTGATGATTTATGATCAGCAGTACAATACCTTAGACCCCTGCACCATTCCACACATCATTTTGAATGTAGGCCTACACTTTAAAAAAGTTCAGTAGCTCTGCTGGAGAGGTAGGCCTAATCCAGCAAATTTAGAGTATGCAAGTTTCAAAGACAAAAGTTCAGTCTTCACATGCCTCATGTTTCAATGGCATTAAGTAATTGAACGAGAAATACATAAATGTTTATTACTGAGCGACAGTAACCTATTGTTTTGTACCGTATTTAGTGTCCCATCACATTTTTATTTTTATCATTGCTTGATAAGATAAAGATTATCAAACCCCATTAAAGGCTCAATACCACTCTTGTTGTAACTGAATATGTCCCAATCTTTATTCTGGTCAACAAATTGTACTATTTTACAATATTCCAATTAATTGATCATACAAATTTCATCTTAACACACCTAATTTAAAAAATTGGAAAAATTCAACTAAATGATATGAAAAGCCTGATGTAAAGCTTTTCAAATGTGACTTGGATTTAAAAATATTTTTGAACCCTCTGGACAAGTAAAATAGGATTTAATGGATAATTTATACAACATGTAAGACACTAACACATCTAGTACTTAGAATAAGGCTATTTTTTTATTTTCTGGAGCTGTCAAGCCAGCAAGAGTGTTATTGTCCCTTTAACAACTTTACATTTTGTTGGGTTTTTTATTTTTATTACATTATTATAACATATTCTGTCATTTGTGTATAAAAAGATTGAAATACAGTAGCGTGCATAAATCAGAAGACCCCAGATGTACCAAATCAACGGGAAAAATAACTGGTTTTATTCCAAATTGTAAAATAAAGAGCAATTAGAGTTATGCCCCCCATTCTGTTTTCAGGGAATAAAACCATAAACAGCCATTTGTTTACATCATGGCTGCCACTTGGAGACAATTTTTTGACACGGTATGTTACTTTATTTCCTCGTTTCTTTCTCTCGCGAAAGGATACCTCTAGAGCGTAGCTAAAAAACGTTGAGATATAAGCCTACTGATGTGCTTTTTTTTAAAGCTACGATTGGGTTCCAAGTGGCAAACTCCGTTTCTTTATTAATGCATGACGTAAAATCTTTAAAAAAATAAGATAATTTTATACTAGATCTATAAATTACTGTTAGGACTAATTAAACTTACAGAGGCCAATGTAGTGCCACAGCTATCGCCTAACTACAAATATTCTCGTTGTTTTTATCCGACATACACCGTCATCATCTCCCGTTTAAAAATGGCGTTCCTAGCAAGCAACGGTTAAAACAACTCGGATTTTAAATACGATCATTTATACCCGTTTCAGGTAGGATATATGCTTAATTGTAGTTGGATGTGGCAGGATTATTATAAATAACAATAATAAAAATATTGTCAATTTTGCTTACTGGGGCCCGATGTGATTTGCGTTGTACTTTGCAACGTGGAACTATATACATCTCTTATCTTGAAACACGGAGGGTTGAGAGATGAGGTTTGTTAGGGTATCTAAGATCTTACTAGTTCAGCCATAAAAAAGCTCTCTCTGCAAAGTGTAATATCCATAAATTCGTCTAAAGGTGGATGTAAATAACCCAGATCAAGTCATAGATGAAAGAAATCTGATTTTGAGTGGGGTTGTGAAAGGGTAGGCATTCCGTCTAATAATCAGGTAGATAGAATATGATTCTCAATTCAAACACTAGCCATTCTCTCAGATTAAGACTTCTTTCTTCTTTGATTGGCATTTAGTAATTGTACATATTAACACAAAGTACAATTTTATGGATACACAATTACTGAGTTTAATACTAATTGACGTTTCCACGAGGATACCCTCATCTTTATCAAGCAAATGATATGTAGGCTACAGGTATGTGAATAGTAGGCAAATATACTATAGTTTATATTACGGTATAGTCGATGACTTCAAAATAAATCTCTCAGTTAAATATGTCCCAACTAAATCTCTTTTAAATATGTCCCTATCAACTCTTTCAGAAATCCTAGATTCAAGACTTGTTTGGTGAAGATATCACGATAACTGAATGTGAGGTGCACTATAAAAGCAAGGGAATGCCCAAGTTTTGGAGATCAAATGCATTTAAAAATTTAATAAACCATTCTGAATAGTTATTAAATCGAAAAGAAATATGAAAACGTTTAACTCCAAGTCCCAAGGTACAGATTGATGGTAATATATTTATGCCAATTTCCCCTGTACAGGGATCTTTGTATTGCTAATTGTGTTTTTCTGTATTTTAGTTGATGAATGACCATGAGGCATAGTGATTTATTAACATTATGGATTTATTGGCCATTGAGAAGCTTATTATTCAGGCTGCTATTAGGGGAGATGAAATTGTGAATCTAAGTCACAGAGGACTAACAATAGTCTCAGACAGCTTGAAGAAACTTAAACATGCAAAGACACTTTGTTTAAATGATAACAAGTTATTAATGCCACCTACAGAGCTTGGAGCCATGGTTCAGTTGGAAGAACTTGTATTAGATAATAATCAGTTAACTGTGTTCCCCCCTGGTGTTGGCAAACTACAGCATCTCAGTTACCTTAGTGTATGTTACAATCCATTAGGCATGCTACCCAAAGACATAGGACAAGTAACAACTTTATCACAATTATGGCTGGTAGAATGCCAGTTAATGAATATTCCGGAAGAATTAGGAAATTTACAGAACTTAGAGAAACTCAGTTTGAGATGCAATAATATATCTTGTTTTCCCAAAGAATTTTACAAACTGACAAAACTTCGATGGTTGTGCTTTGCCGAAAATTATTTTCAAGATCTTCCCGAACAGTTTGAAAATTTAATATCACTAAGCTATCTCAATATGAACCATAACCGTTTTGAAGACATACCAAAGTGCCTTGGAGAACTACCTAAATTAATTAGTTTAAATATGAAAGGAAATTATATTCAGCAAGTTTCAGATGACATTTTATTAAGCTTATCTAATTTAACCAAGTTTGATCTTCGAGATAATCAAATTGTTGTGAAGCCAGCTCACTGGAAGGTTTGTTTGAATATGCTTCTTATCATATTAAACTTGATTTCTGGCACTGTATCATTGTAAAATATATTTTTTAATAGCCTATCAAGACCCCCTCAGAATAGAATCTGTTTTTTCTTGACTCTCTTCAGCCCAGATAAGTTAAAGATAGCAATCAAAAGCGTGGGAATACACCCACACAGCAGCAATGTCTTGACAGCAGGTTATCCGAAAGGATATCTTGGCAAAGTGGGTATAGCTCTGGTACATAAAGTTGCAGATTGCTGAATATCGATAAGGTTCGTCCTCTAATATTAACAACAATGTTTAAAACTACTGTCTCTTCCGCATTTGTAAAGCCGATTTTTGACAAACGGATGTGGCGTAGAAAAAATGCCCCTACCCCCTCTCAGGTAATTTTAAATGGAATAGGCCTTAGCATAAAATATATAGGTCTACCTTTGGAGCTACAAATGTTATTTAATTTGTAATTTTATTCAATTGTATGATTCACTACATTTGATATGCTATCTTTTGGTTGTAATATATATATAAAAATACAAAACATTTTATCTCCATTACAGGGTTTAGAGTACATTTTAGTTGGAGAAACAGGATCTGATACAGTTTCAGCCGATACAGATTCAGAAATAGCTCATAGATTAAGGACTATTAATGAAATACACACAGACGATGAAAATGAAAGTGTTGAAGATTCAGATTTTGAAGACTTGAAAAATAAGATCAGTTAAATATTTGTCTTTTTGTATTTAATTGCATTCTTGTATTAAAATTTGTTGTTTTTGTAAATGTAGTAATTTGTAACTCTTCCCTCTAATCAAAAGAAAATTGATTTATTCCAAGGATATTTGTAGTAGCTAGCAATTAATGAGTCTGTACATGAATTAGAAAGGTGCCCTTCAGCCTAGCCAAAAGATTTATAAAACGAAGGTCGAACATTTTAATGCGGTAATAAAACATGGTCACCAGAAAGCAAGAAAGACCAACATACTAAATGTGCACGTATAGAGAACCAGCGGTTGCCAGGCAAGATACGCCTACATTTTACAAGAGATGGATAGAGAACAAGCTAAAAAAAACCCCAGCTGTTGCCAGGCAAGATACGTCCACATTTTGCAAGAGATGGATAGAGAACAAGCTAAAAACAAAAGCAATTTTTCGTACAATCAGGGGCCATGATCCAGAAAGGTATTGTCTGAAATGTGTAAATATGAAAAGGGACAGAGATCTTTGGGACGTAAACATATATTTTAAGTTTCATCAAAATCGGATAAAAATTGTGACCTCTAGAGGTTCCACAACCTTCATATTACCTTCTTTTACACAACTTGCGTACAAAGAGTGGTCATTTTGTCGGGCAGTTTCGTTTCAATTTTCCCAAAATTTGAATTCAATCTTCATTATGGTAGAATGGTGATATATTTAAACGGTTTTTAAAATCGGATAAAAAATTGTGACCGCTTACAAAATCCACAAGCTAAAAATCGCAATTTTTCGAACAATCAGGGGCCATAATCCAGAAAGTGACAGTCTGATAAGCGCAAATAGTGTAAGGAACCAAGATCTTTGGGACATAAACATAAATTTTCATCAAAATCAGATAAAAATAAAGTTTCATCAAAATAGGATAAAAACTGGGGCCTCTAGAGGGTCCACAACCTTGATATACCATATTTTTACACTATTTGGGTACGAGGGGCGGCCATTTCGTATGAACTCAACAAACCTTAGATGTAACAGTGATATATTTGAATGTTTTTTTAAATCAGGTAATAACTGTGACCTCTAGAGAGACCACAAGCTATAAACATGTATTTCAAGTTTCATCAAAATCGGATCAACATTGTGACCTCCACAGCGTCCACAACCCTGATATACGATGTTTTTACATGAGTGGTGGCCATGTTGTCCGGCAGTTTTGGTCCGATTTTCCAAAATTCGAATTTAACCAACAGTGATATATTTGAACGGTTTTTTTTTAAATCGGATAATAATTGTGACCTTTAGAGGGACCACAATCTTAAACGCAATTTTTCGTACAATCAGGGGCCATAATTTCTGAAGTTACAATCTGATATGCGTTTATATCAAAAGGAACCAAGATCTTTGGGTTATAAACATGCATTTCAAGTTTCATCCAAATCGGAAGAAAATTGTGACCTCTAGAGTGTCCACAAGCTAAAAAGATGATTTTCCGTACAATCAGGGTCCATAATCCATGACGTTTCGGTCTGATACATGCCAATATCGAAAGGAACCTATATTCCAAGTTTTGTCAAAATCGGATAAGAATTGTGACCTGTAGAGTGTCCACAGACAAATTGTGGGTGACGGAATAATATGTCCACATGAAAATGTGGGTGTATAAAAAAAATCAATTGAATTGGGAAAAATCCTTTGGTCTGTTTAGTGAGTAGGTTACTTTATGCAAAATTTACGCAAAGTAAAATCAATGCTCTTAGTCTTATTAAAATTTTGATAGGGTTAGACTGACATACTATAATAACAATATATTGAACTACATGTACATTGAAATAAAAACTCTGTATTTTAAATATTTTAATTACTAAAAAGGTTTAATTTTTACAAAAATATTTCGAAGTGACAATTTTAGTAATTGGATAATTAATATCACAAAATCATTATATCAATATTATTGACTGCTATTCAAAGCAACATTCATATATTTCCTTTATGTTTGAAATAAGAAACATTTTGTAAATAAGTATTTAGTGATCTAACTGTATTATCCAAAAGCTTTTCCATTTAAAATAATAGATTCTAGAATATACATTCAACAGTATCTTTAAATGTATCTTAAACTCTTGTTCTGTGTTTTGTCAGGTTTACGTAGGCCTACAGTCAGAAACCTGTTGTAAACAACAAATGAAAACTAATACTTTAGAAAATATACTAGCTAACTGCAGACATTACACAAGACTAGGATTAAGGCTTTTAAGAGCACAGAGTTATTTAATTTACTAGAATATATCTGGTACATCTACTTTAACAATTGTCCAAATATATACTTTACATCTACTTTAACAATCGTCCAAATATATACTTTAGGTTTTTATCAATTAACAAAAGAGAAAAACAGAATTCATACTGCATTACAGGGACATTAAATAGATTTTGTGATTTCAACAAAGTTACAAGCTGCATATCCTTAAAAATTTCATAGTAAACATGAATTTAAGTAGCTACTGGGAATTCCACACAGAAAGCAAATATTTTCAGTAAGGCTGATCTGTCTAACATAAACTCAATGACAAAATGACATTGTAATTCAAGTTTTTTAGTCAAATACCATATGTCCGCTCATTCCTGACATTTTTCAAGTCCGATCAACAACACTTACAAAAATATATAGGCATAAAATGTTAATTCAAATAGATTAAAGATACATTATAGGAGATTTTAATAGAGAGTTAGCCATTCTTGCTATAACAGTTCAAAAATAGATGACCAAAGAAGAATATATTGAAAATTTCAGTCAAATTACTTTATTCTGAACAAAGTTATCAGCATTGTAATTTTTGACTAGAAGAGTCAACTCTCTCTTCACCGTCTCCGAGAATGGCAGTTCGTTTGATTGACAGGCGTTAACACCACCTACATAATCTCGATTATCAAGTAACGTTTTCAATGGCTGTTGTACTGCTAGCACATTTATTTTTACTACAAATTAAAAATAAGACTTTTAATATATAGATAAGAAGCGAAAGTTTGAAAGGAATAGACCAAATCAATGAGGCATAATTATAGCCGACTTCTTGTTAGCCTGCGTGTACTCTTGTTGTACGGTAACTGGTAGGCCTACGTAACTCCCGTAGCAGACAAACAATGAAATGAGTGATCCAATGGGGCTACAATTCAACTGGGGTGATGTTAGCGATGTTTATCAATTTCCATAATTTTTCTGTAAACGCAAGTGACAAAAGAGCGTATAATACCGATATCCAAACTCTCATTTTAACCACAACTAAACATAATATCAAGGCCGTATATATCGATCTTTCAATCAAATTGACTGACATGCGGCCTAGCTCAACAGCGGCCTCGCTTCGTACACTCTATCATTTAGCCTCGATCTAAAATTTCCGGGAATATGACGTCAACGTAACGGTTAATCCTGTTTAAATCCAAGCCGAATCCAAGCCATTCGTGGGTCTACAGAGTTGATTTTGTGCTTGTTGTGTAAATAAAGATCTAATTTATAATTTCTATGACATCTGAAGCCTAAATAAAGACTTGCAATAATCTGATTTAGCTCTTGCATAATGTATGTTTAATATTTCTTATCACCCAATAATACATTCTACAGTAGATATCGCTTGTGTGATATATTTCATAATCTACTGCGATATCTCCTTAGGAGATATCTACATTAATTTGATTGGTCAGTTGAAAAGGAACTACTTTTTTTTTATTTTCAAAGAACAGTTCATTTCTTGTTAAAAGTAACTTTTTTTATTTAAAATGAACTATTTTTATTCAATTGACCTTGATGGAAACACTGGGTCAATATAAAGGACTTTGCAATGGTTGAATTGCTGTCAAAAAATGATTTATCACTACGCCGTAATGTTCAGTAAAAGTGAAATCTACAGCAAAGAATTATATTTATCTATTTGTGCATGTAAGAAGGGATTGGGTGATAAATAAAATCTCCTACTCGTCGTTTTTGATATCAAAAAATACTGGTAGGAGATTCTCTATAAGGACATGTCATTTACTATATAAATATAAGGATTGAATGTTGTAATTTTGAGGTTTATGGGTGTCGCCATTTGCTATCAGTATCACACCTACCTTATGAGTACTGATCAACTTGTGAATATGAAAGAGAGTAATTTCTAGTAATTCTACTACTGTGTTGAGGATACAGAATGAATTTAATATACAATGTAAGAAACATATACTTTTGTAACCATTTTAACCTATAGGTTTGGTTGCATTAATTAACCATTTTCTGACCTCTTTTCTTCCTTGTTTTTCCATTTCATCACCAACAACTTGTTGACAAAAACTATGAAAATCATTAAGCCAGTTGATCTAGAAAAGTAGAAAAACTAAAACATATAATAAAGCCATGGTAAATTATTAAACATCTATATATATTTAAAACAGATATTTTGTCTTTTTCTCAAAAGATAGTTATAATTGAGCAACAAAAATTATTGTTTGCTTCATGTTATGCATACTTGAATAGCAAAAATACATTTGATTCACCTGCACATTGGATACAGACTATACTGGGTGTCACTAATGTTCTCTTAACCGTTACAATTTAACAGGCTTTTTCCTAACATTAAAGCAGTGTTAGGTAAGATTAGAAAAAGAACTGACAGTTCTCGCTATAATAGTTAAAAAAGTAGATAATGAAAACAGAATATGTTGAAAATCTCAGTCAAATTATGCCAATCTGAGCCTAGATATTAGTGATACAATTACATGTATAGGCTAGCCTCGATTGTCATTACGCCGTTGTTACGATAATAAACAAATAAATGTCTAATTAATAGTTTATACAACATTTCAGGCCTAATGAAAGACTTGCAATAGGCAGACTATTGTATGTTTTAATAAGCTTAAATTTGATAATTTACCTCTTGTTCTGTAAGCAAAGACGGATCTATCATCTTAGTTTGTATAGGAACTGGGGTTATTGTCTCAAATGTCAAAAAACCCTTCTTCCTAAAATTATACTGTAAAATAAAGAGACACATGCTATTCACAATTATTTACCTGAATTTTTAATTTCGTGTCCTATCTGTTTAAAAAATATATCTTTAATATGCATTCAAATGTATGAAAATCTTTCAGTATATTATAATGGCTGCAGGAAGGCAGGTTAAAATTGCTAAAACTAAAACATACCTTGGTATCAGCTTTTTGTACCAATATCAAACTTTCTATCCTAACTCCAAATTCTCCATCTTGATAAAAACCAGGTTCTAGAAAAAGTACAGCCATAAATTAAGCAGAATATATTTCTTATTAGTGCTTAAAACCTCTGCAGGTCATGTACTTCATGAACATATTGTATATATGTTTCAACAAGGTGTTGCCATGCACGATCGGCCCACAATTTGCAAGAGATGGACAGAGAACAAGCTAAAACGGGTTTTTTCGTACAATCAGGGGTCATAATCTAGGATGTTAGAGTCAGACATGTGACAATATCGAAAGAAGGCAAGATCTTTGGGATATAACCATATATTTTAAGTTTCATCAAAATCAGCTAACAATTGTGACCTCTAGTGTAAAGGTATTACATACTTTTACACTATTAGCATACGAGGGGTGGCCATCCTGTCAGGAAGGAACCAAGATCTTTTGGAGATAAACCTATATTTCAAATTTCGTCAAAATTGGATAACCATTGTTACTTGTAGAGTGTCCACAAACAAAATGTGGACAGACAGGGGTGTATAAAAAAACAATTCTTTAAATTGGTGAAGACATTAATAATATCTTATTGTGATCTTAAATACATACCATCAGATAGAATCATGCCTTCTTGTAATGCAACATCAGTTAATGTAACTATATGTGATATACCACAGGGACCTGTTAAAATATAAAAATACACATTTCTCTGAAACCACCATTGAGTTATCACACTAAACCACTATGAACAAGGTTGAAGCTTTTATTTACAGTCCTTGTGGCAAACTGCATTTATCAACTTATCCATAAAACATACATGCAAAACATTAAAATTATTACCTTCATGAACATTGAGAAAATGTCCGACACCATGACCGGTACCATGAAGATAATCTAAACCAGCATTCCATAAAGAACTTCTAGCTAATGTGTCCAACATGTGGCCTGTTTGTACAAATAAAAGAAGTAAATGTAACGTGTTCTGTTTAATTCTTATCTTGAGCAGAATAAATGTATGTTCTATGTTTTCTTATGTTCTAATACAGTTTTCTTGAATAAGTAAGTAAGCCAGGTGTAATTCACAAAGAAAATGTAAAACTAATCCAAATATGTTCAATGTTTTGAATTAGTGCCCCATAACCTTTCTTTGGATTCAATCCTCAGGTTAAAATGTAGAAACATGTAATTTGCAGTATATTTAAACAAAGATCTGTTATAGTTTTTATTTACATGGTAACTAAACAAAAATCTGTTATAGTTTTTACAATATAGTGACTAAACAAAGATCTGTTATAGTTTATACAATATGCAGTAATTTAACAAAGATCTGTTATAATTTTTGCAATATGCGGTAACTAAACAAAGATATGTTATAGTTTTTACAATATGCAGTAACTAAACAAAGATCAGTTATAGTTTTTACAATATCGTAACTAAACAAAGATATGTTACAGTATCATAAAAAAACAGATCTCTTACAATCTGATTAAAATACAGATCTATATTTTGTTTCGTTTTTTTTATACTTTTGTTGGCCTTCAATACATGAAGATCTGACTGGTTGTAGTGGGAGGCCATACATGCAGCTATTGACCCTATGGTGTCAGACATTTGATTAACCAATCAGCATTGATGTTTCAAGTGGGAATTTGGAAATACAACTTTTGCTTTTTCTTCGCTGTGAATGTCTACCCACAGTTCCCAGCACCATACAGCAAGAACGAAAATTTTGAAGTATAAAAAACGAAATGAAATAGGATCTGTGTTTTAATCAGATTGAATCTCTAATAGTTTTTAGAATATAATTATTCATACCTTTAACTCCATTAGGAAAAACTGCTGTGGCTAAACTGATATGACCTTTTAAGACTCTGGTGAAACACTCCTGTAAATTTAAAAGTTTATACATACACAATTCATTTCTTGACAAGTGATCACTTAATACATGTAGTAGTTTTATATCTACTGTGCAATAATACTAGAGAAATGAATATTACCTGTTGATATTTTGTAGGAACACCTAAATGAATTGTTCTAGTAGTATCTGTAGTACCATTTCTGTAAATAATGGAACAGTAAATGATATATTTCACTGATAATCAGACAATTCAGGATTGTTTTGAAAATACAAAAAGCATGCACAACATCTTATATGCTGTACCATCAAACCTCTATGTATTAAAACTAAACTCCTGTTGGTGTATTTTCAGTAGATTGCTAATATCTGAGACTGTGTGAAACTTATATATGTAACTGTAAAAATTTGTAATGCCTAAAGTGAAATATATGTAAAAGTATATAAATATCTTTTATTTTACATAAATATTTTGCATAAAATATAAACAATTATTGAGCCTTAAAAATACTATTTATATGTACTCACTTGTATTGAGCCCCAGAATCACATAAATACATCTGATCTGTTGTAATAACTATATCACTTTCTTCTGTGGGTCTAAATAAATTACACATCAATATACATTTATATATCAATTAATTTTTCAATTTCAACAATCATTATATATCAAGTACAGTAGAATCTTTAGGAGCAGCCACTCCTATTCAGCGACATCTCCTTGTAAGCGGTCACGATAAATTCCCCCTGTAAAAATTCCATTGTTTCATCTCTTTAATCATCACTATTTTACTAATAAATTTAACAAAACATCGCCAATTCAACTTCATTAACTTCGTAGCCACTCCGCTAATCCCGTGATTAATAGTTAATTACCTGGTTCGCCACCGATCCCTTAAAAAGAACTGTGAAAATAACAATAAACCCGGGATTATCTGTTATTTAATCTTTTATTTCATTAAATGACAAACCCGATCTGCTGATCATTGTTTTCACACATAGATTGAATAAACTAAAAGTACTGTCAAAGCCGAGTTTTGTCACGATCATCTAGTATCTATTTTCCATTGCCACTGTGTTGCTACACAGAAGTTTTAGCGCCCCCTATATTACTTACAGAGTTACACCCCCTGAAAATCGGTGACAAATTCAGCGATGTTTTTTTGGACATGTGCTTTTTCGATAAAATAAAATTAATTCATGTATTTTCTTTACAAAAATGGATAAATATTATCGAATACATCACAATGGTAGACAGTAGTGTCAATGTTGGTACAAAATGACATGTTTACAGAAGTTATATCAGACATTTGAGTCAAAGGATTTTCGTTCCAAGCAATTTTCAGCGACAGCCAAATTTACCGATGCAAGTATTCGTGTTTGCTCCCAATGCATCCAAACCTAACATTTAATTGATGTCAGCACTAACAAACACTGAGATTTTATTAAGAGGTCACTCCCGTTAAGCGGTTAGTCATGCAAATTCCCTGGAGTGGCTGCTTAATACAGATTCTACTGTATATATTTCCTTGACAGATGTGATTCAAAAAACATAACTATAAACTGGATAATTACCAAAAACATATGTTTTGAGATGTTACAAGGGAAACCTTTTTGACAATCCACAAAGCTGGCATTTTGTAGACATTAAAGGGATGAACACTGACATTAATATGTGAGTGACGCACATGCCAAGATGGAAATGTCACCTTGAGTGGTTTACGATCTATAATAATTAACTTGTTTAATTAATTATTGGCTTATTTATGTATATTAGCCTAAAATTTGAGTATAAATTATTGATTTTACCTGGTCATTACAAAAATATGTATCATACCATCAGATGAAGATAAGTTTAGAGGGTTGAACAGATGAATGAATAATTAAATATGCTTGAGGGAACATGGGGATTTTGAATTTTTTCCTCTAGCATTTGATAAACTTCAAATGAATGACGGTATGCCTTTAGTCAACCAGCGGTTGCCAAGCAAGATACGCCCACATTTTGCAAGAGATGGGCAGAGAACTAGCTAAAAACAATATGCTATTTTTTTGTACAATCAGGGACCATAATCCAGGAAGTTACGTTCTAATATGCACAAATATCTAAAGGAACCCAGATCTTTTGAATATAAACATATATTTTAAGTTCCATCAAGATCAGATAAAAATTGTGACTTCTAGAGGGTCCACAACCTTGGTTTTATATATTTTTACACTACTTGCGTACATGTAGCAGCCATTTTATCGGGCAGATTCCATCTGTTTTTCATGAAATTCGAACTCAAACATCATTATGGTATAACAGTGATATGATTAAACGTTTTTTAAAATCAAATAAAAATTGTCCACAAGAAGGTCCACAAGCTAAAAAACATGATTTTTTGGACAATCAGGGGCCATAATCCAGGAAGTTACGGTCCTCTATTAGTAAATATCGAAAGGTAAAGCTATAATTGGGTTATAAACCTACATTTCAAGTTTTATTAAAATCGGAGAAAAATTGTGACTTCTAGAGGGTCCACAACCTTGGTATTACATATACTTATACACTATTAGCGGCCATTTTGTCCGTCAGTTTCGGTTGGATTTTTGCAAAATTCAAACTCAACCTTCCTTGGGTTGTAATGGTGATATATTTAAATGCTTTTTATAATTGAATAAAAATTATGACTTCTAGAGGGTCCACAAGCTAAAAACGCGATTTTGCGTACAATCAGGGGCCATAATCCAGGAAGTTACGATCCGATATGTGCGAATATCAAAAGGAACCAAGATCTTTGGTTTATAAACATACATTTCAAGTTTCATCAAAATCAGATAACAATTCTGATGTCTAGAGTGTCCACAAGCTAAAAAACGTGACCTGTAGAGTGTCCATAAACAAATTGTAGGCCTATGCACCTACCATTGATGTACTGTCAATATATGTATATGAAAATACTTCTTACTTGTAATGGATAATGGCACCATTTGCACCAGAACTAGAAATAGTATCAAAGCTTAAACTAACAAAATCATCTTGTTCCCTGCAAAATATAATATAATGGTAGTAAAAATTAACTTTATATTCTTGTGATAATAAAGCATAGCGTAACTATGATTTTACCAATGAATCATAGATGAACTGCCTATTATAATTAGAAGACTTGGTTTTAATGACTGGAAAATTGTTTTGTAAATAAGACTGGAATTTGCTCTATTCATTCTTATAAACTACTTGTGAACAGTTTTACCAATACTGGGTGGCTCAGACGGTCACTAATCAGAATTTCAATGTTCGATCCTGGTGTTAGTCGAGAAAGTTCCTCACAGTTTTTCTGCGTGGTTTCCCTTATTGGTGGTGCAGGACAAAGGGTCTGGCTAGGAACAATGTCTTGTCCTTCAAATGTTAAGAAAAAGCAAAGCCCCTCAAAGCACACTACATGGCGTATGCCTGTCTTCATTATCTTGGTATAGGTGTTATGTGGTCAATTATAAGTAAAGTTAAACTTACCTTCTAAATTGTTCTAGTCTATTGGCTGCTGTTATTTCTGTAACATCACCAGATGGTACCTGAAATACAAAATAAAATACTTTTATTGCTCCATTGCACTTTTCATATATGCTTATAATACTCATGTAAGTCATCTATAGATTGGCAATGTATCTTTAGAAAGGTAAATAATTAAAATTTGTACAAATGTACTTCAGTGAAGAAACTTTGAGTGAAAAGTCTCAAAAATGTGACTGCAAGGGCATGTTAAACATGCATTATGCAAGAGCTAAATCTGCCTATTGCTAGGGTGACCCATGCACTCTACAGAAAGTTGGTCTCAACATGGCTAATGTGCACGCTTCAGTGGTTGTCTCGAACTACCAGCGGTGGACTGTATGATACTATAAATAACCATGGCATGTGCAATTCTCTACAAATCTATCAACTATTACAGCCATAAAAAATCTATTGTTGACGATTTTGAATAGCAGTAAAATATAGCTTCTTGGTTATTACAGCAGCTTTAGAAATTACGTTCGTTTTATTTTTTAAATTGCTTTATCATTAATTGTACCGTTAAGAGCGGCATCTTTTGGTTTAGTACAAATAATATCTCTGAATCACTTTCGTTAGCAGGAACATGATACTAGCAGTAGTTTCATTTTACTTTTACAAGCTTCTTAAAACAATTGTTGATCTGGCTAACGTGCGTTTTTCTAAATTCAATTTCTTGTTCCAGCTTTCTGTTATGTTTCGTAAAAAGGTAGTCTTGATTATCCCAACCTGTCAATCAGAGGTAGAATGGTCGATAGACTGGTTAATCGAGGCTAATTTCAAAACAAGGGCACGTAACCTATCTTTTACTCAAAAGTGTCTGGATGTTATGGACGAAACTTGGAACCAGTTTCAGTCTATTATTTATAGATCATTAAATGGTCATAGCTTATTAAGTACAACATGATCGTTTATTTAGTGACTATAATTGTGTGAAACTGATTTAAGGCTTTGTATATATATAAATATTGTGGCGTAATTGTCGAGATATTTGGAGATATTTATTTATGATGGGTCAACCTACTATTGCAAGTCTTTCTTTAGGCCTGAAATGTTATCAGTATAATTAATTAGACATTAATTAACTTATCCAGACCATAATCAATTCTTGATGCCACCGTTAGCCTACGATATTTAGTGAATTTAATACATTTTGTGATGGATAATTTAACGTAAAATCAATAATCGAGACATTGTTTATTATTCTACCAATGTTAGTAAAGATGATTGAGGCTAGTCTAAAATTGAATCACTAATATTTTGGTTCAGAGAGAAGCAATTTGACTGAAATTTTCAGCATATTCTGTTTTAATTATCTATTTTTAACTATTATAGCAAGAACTGTCAGCTCTTTCTCTAATCTTACCTAATGCCCCTTTAACTGAAAATATGTAATATTACAACAAGGTGGAAAAGAATCAAATGCATGACATAAATAGATATTTTTGTTCACTGGCTTAAAAGTAGACAAAAACAACCGTATGTTGTGTCATCTTTATGATTCGATCAATTGTATGTCTACAAATATTTCAAAACTCATTTACCTGTTTTTCTAACCAGCAGAAAAATTCACATAAAGCCACAGCATCTTTTATCTGTAAGATAAAGATTTCCAATCTTTAAATGTTATTGAAGGAATTAATATTTTATCATTATCAGCGAGTTAGATTGGTCGATGGTGTAAAGCATTGCGTTGTGGATACATTATACATTCAGACTTGAAATTCATATTCATCCCATATTACATGGAATATACAGCTAAATTCTGTGGCTTTTTTCCTGTTTTTTTGTCACTGCCCAAGCGCAGCTGTGGCCTGTTGTTTTGAGTATACATTATCTATAATCTCCAATGACTACTAGTGAAAAAATTTGAAGAAAAAGTGGTGAATTATGGAATGTCTTGTGGTAGTGTCGCCCGAAGTGCATAAATAATTTCAAACCAGTCGCCCAAACTCATCAATTTGTCTACTTGCTTGGCGCACGTGCATGCTTCGACTATAAAACTGGGCGCGTATCATTCATCAGGGGAGTTTCAGTTAGTAACTCCCGAGGAAAGGTAACTTTATCATATGTAAGACACAGACCGGTTGTCAAGAGTCGATAATTGCCTCATATCAACCAGATTGTGTTGATTTTCATTTCTTTTATATTTGGGCTAGATTGTTTGAGCGCATTTCTTACTCTTAGATAATAGTTCTGATTTGGGGATACATAGTAAATTTGTATCTACTTCTCGCTTCGCTGTGGGGACTGCTGAATCGATCCACATACTAAACCATATTGGAATTTGGTCATTTGATTCGTGAAGAATTTGGTGATTTCGTTTTTAATGGTGTTCTAGTAGTTTAGACATAGCGTTCTACTGCCAGACACTGGAGATATAGGCATTGTGGCCTTTTCACTTGATTCGTGAGGAAGAATTCGGTGATTTCGTTTTTAATGGTGTTCTAGTAGTTTAGACATTGCGTTCTACTGCCAGACACTGGAGATATAGGCATTGCGTCCTTTTCACTTGATTCGTGAGGAAGAATTCGGTGATTTCGTTTTTAATGGTGTTCTAGTAGTTTAGACATTGCGTTCTACTGTAAGACACTGGAGATATAGGCATTGCGGCCTTTTCACTTGATTCGTGAGGAAGAATTCGGTGATTTTGTTTTTAATAGTGGGTTAACGGGCTGTACAAGATCGATGAATCGATTCACCACAGCGAGTTAATTTATTCCGTAGTTTGAGAAATGATTTCTGTTTAGTATTTCGGGCAAATCAATCATTTGAAACATTAAAGGCACACGTCACATTTCCATAATCCATTGTTGTTTAATTTATAATAAAAAGTATCAAATTATATCTTGTTTATTGTTTGTTTCATGACATTAGCTGCCGCTGCATCCAGTATCCGAACCTTGTCCTACTACAGTCTAAAGTTTATCTTATTTTAAGACTGCAATAATTTATTGTAAGTGAGTGAAGTATTGTCTGTTAAAATCTTCAAAGAGTAAATCTTTTTTATAATTTCTTTATTCAGCCATAACTTACCTGAGCATTCTTCATACCTTCTATCTCAGTTTCATTTTTGATTGCTTTAAATAAGGCAACTGGGGACGGATCATGATTTCTTTTTGCCTATAGAAGAAATAAAACAGAATTTTTAAAAAGTAATAAAATATGATTTAACTTTGGAGTTCAAGCTTATCAAAGATTATGTGTACCAAGTAGAATTAAAATATATTCTTAGCTTCTAAAACAAGAAGTGGATCAGGTGTCCTGGAAAATTAAGCATACTCTGCCTCATATTTAAAAAAAAAAATGACTCTTACTTTTGGTATAGTACTGTGTAAGGCAAAACTAGATTTCTCACTAATCTGAAAAAGAAATATTTTCATTAATAAATATATGTAGCGTTATTATGAATTAAAACTGAGAAGGCAAAGAATATTGAGTATAAATATATGAAAAGACAATGGTTGAACGTCTTCAAAACTCTATTCTTTCATCTCTGTAATAAGAACATCACATTGGCTGGACAATAAAGTTCATACAATAATGCATTTCTTTTAAAATACTTCAACCAGAGAAGAACTTTATTTGCATTCAAATCATAATATTTGTGTGTAATTGTTTAAATCATGCAATATCCTACCCATATCTTTTTGTCAGTAGTAGTCTGTAAATTTGTAAGAAAATCTTTAATGGTGTTATAGTCATGCTTTTCTATTGAAGTACCATTCTTTTGGGCGCTATCATTTAACTTGAGGTGCTCTGAGACACCATTCTGTAGCTTAGAATCATCAATAAATATACTGAAATAATAGGACGGTTTTAAGATACTTAATGTAACAACTCAAGTAAATAACAGTGTACTTTCTTTATATCTAAATATAACATTATAGTAAAGCATTGAGCACTCAGATTGCTTATCTCTAGGTACCCTCAGCAGAAAATATTCAAGATCAAGGTATTGATGTAATAAAACCAAGTTTCACCACTTGCACTAAATTAGATTCAAAGACATCATGTCCCAAAGCATCGGCAAATCAAATTCCTAATCTCTACTTAGCCTAAGCAGATAATGCTCATTATCGAACTTAGTTAAATATGCATTATGCAAGAGTTAAATCTGCCTATTGCAGGTCTTTCTTTAGGCTTGAAATGTTATCTAAATTATTAATTAGACGATAATTAACTTATCCAGACAATAATCAACTCTCGATGCCATCATAAGCCGGCAATATTTAGTGGATTTGAATACATTTTGGGATGGATAATTTAACGTATAAATGGATAATCGTGATTTTGTTTATCATTGTACCTGTTTATCATTAGAAATGACGATCAATGTTAGCCTAAAATTGAATCGCTAATATCTCGGGTTCAAGGTGAAGCCTATTCCGATTTCTTTATCTATTTTTAAACTATTATAGCAAGAACTGTCAGCTCTTTATCTAATCTTTATGCCCCATTAAGGCATTCACCTAAAGAACAGACAGACTTACAGGCCCACTTTAATAGCCACTTACTTTCTTTGAAAGGCAGGGGCCAATGAAGAAACTTACTGTACTTTGTCTCTAGACATATCGTGGAGTCAACTGGCGTGGTTTCGATTCCCCAGTTGTACATGACAAGAAGTAGGGTTGCCTGTCCAACCTCGTGGGTTTTCTCAGGATTCTTCAGTTTCCTCCCACTGCTAAAGACCCCTCCGCGCAAGTGAATTATTGAGAAAAAAAATTAAACCATGTTAGTCCCAAAATGACCTAGTTTGTGTTGAGTGGACGTTAAACTTTCTCTCTCTCTTCTCTCTCTCTCTCTATATATATATCAGTATACAGTAAATACATTAACTTACTGTACTTTATCTCTCGTTATTACAGTATAAGAGAAAAACACAGGATTATAGACGATATCAGATCCTCTCAAATTAAACAACCCTGAAATCATAAATCAGTATTATCAATAGCATGTATTCAATATTTTTGATCATTTTTATAATGATTAAAACAACAGATATGAGGCACATCCTCGTATAATGGCCAAACCACAAAACTTGGTCATTCCATGACTACCGGTAACAATAACTTTTAAGAAAATTAATTTTCTTGCATATAGTACGGCCTAGCAGTGGAAAAACAGAGAGTTTTGAGAAAAGCCACAAGATTAGGCAGGTAGTAAATCCAACAATTTTTGAAGGCAACCCTAGTCCTACTTGGGTTCACAGTCAAATGTGGGATCAATTAGGTCAGTCAACGTATCCTTATCATTGCATATTGTGAACTTTAATAACACAAGCCAACAGTGAGGCTGATGTCCCCCGCATTGATCTAATTAACGCCTACACCAAGTTTGAACATTCTACCTCAAATAGAAGTAGAGTAATTGTGTTCCAAAGTCTCGACCAATCAAATTGCTTATTGCTCTGCTTACCCAGAGCATAAAATGCTCATTATCGAACTAAGTCAAGGTAGTGATGAGATAAAACTATACACCAAGTGTCCTCACGCTCACTTAATTGAAACTAAAGTTATCGTGTCCCAAAGCATCAATCAATCAAATTGCTTATCTTTGCTTACCTAAGCAGAAAATTTTCATCTTCGAACTCCACCTTTACCAAGTTTGAACATTCTAGCTCAATTAGAAGGAGAGTTATTCTGTCCCAAAAGTGTGACAGACAGACAGACAGATGGATGAACGAACCCATTTTAATAGTCCACTGCTTTCTTTGAAAGGCGGGGAAAAATAATTGTAGGAAGGAGCCAGGTGGCTGAGGTTAACAGCAAGATTTTAAGGATGATTATTTTGTGTATCGGAAGCCAGTGTAGTTAATAAGAATAGGTGATATACATGTTGGTGACAGACAGTCAAATATATGGGTCACTATAAATTGTAGAATTTGACGTCCATACAATTTTGGGTTAAATTAGTCAAAGAATTTTTACAGACAGACGGACGAACCCATTTTAATAGTCCCCTGCTTTCTTCAAAAGGGGGGGACAATAATAATAAGGCCAGACTTGTACCTACATGCTATTTCATCTAAAGCTGTTAATACAAAAGCATAACAGTTCTTTTCTAGTAATTTGTCTTGAACTTTCTTCACTTTTTCTTGCCAACTTAATCCTGGAAAATATGTATAATGTTATTATAATAAATCATTATTTTCATTATTATAATTTCATTTTTAAAGTGCTACATTATAACAACAGTTGTTTCGCAGCGCTGTACAAGCATATTTACACTATGATACATGCAAGACTCTATTTGTATAATTCTTAAAACAGATAAGTCTTTAGTTTAGATCTAAATGGAGATAGTTGGATACACTCTCTAATGTCTCTGGGTAATTCATTCCCCAGCAAATGACATGTTGTCCATCTGGGGTTGAAAGCAGGGAGCTGTCTTGTTATTATTCTATTCTTGCCCTTCCCAGTACTCAGCGTGTAATGTGATGCTATCATATATTGAGATTCCTTTGACAAGTCTTGTAGCGTTGTTTGAGTGATTTAATAGCTCCAATCCAAATACTTATGAAAAGTTAAACAAAGTTTACAGGAATATCTCTTCTGACAAATAATTCCTTATGGCAATCCTTTTTTATTAGTGATAATAAATGGAGATAGTTGGATACACTCTCTAATGTCTCTGGGTAATTCATTCCCCAGCAAATGACATGTTGTCCATCTGGGGTTGAAAGCAGGGAGCTGTCTTGTTATTATTCTATTCTTGCCCTTCCCAGTACTCAGCGTGTAATGTGATGCTATCATATATTGAGATTCCTTTGACAAGTCTTGTAGCGTTGTTTGAGTGATTTAATAGCTCCAATCCAAATACTTATGAAAAGTTAAACAAAGTTTACAGGAATATCTCTTCTGACAAATAATTCCTTATGGCAATCCTTTTTTTTTAGTGATAATAGCATTAAATATTCAAGAATGGTAAAATAACCAGCGGCTGCCAGGCAGGATACGCCCACATTTTGCAATAGATGGATAGAGAACAAACTAAAAACAAAAACGATTTTTTGTACAATCAGGCGGGCCATAATCCAGAAAGTTATGGTCTTAAATGCGCAAATATCAAAAAGGACAGAGATATGTTTTAAGTTTCATCAAAATCGGATAAAAATTGTGACCTCTAGAGGGTCCATAACCTTTGTATTACATAGTTATACCCAATTTGCGTACAAAGAGCGGCCAATTTGTTGGGCAGTTTCCTTTCGATTTTGCCCAAATTCGAATTCAACCTTCATTATGGTGGAATGATGATATATCTAACCCGTTTTTAAAATCGTAAAAAAAATTGTGACCTCTAAAGAAACCACAAGCTAAAAATGCAATTTTCGAAAAATCAGAGGCCATAATATCCAGGAAGTTATGTGTGATTATCAAAAGGAAACAAGATCTTTACAAGCGGCTGCCATGCAGGATACACCCACATTTTGCAAGAGATGGATAGAGAACAAGCTAAAAAGAAAAACGATTTTTTGTATAATAGGGGCCATAATCCAGAAAGTTATGGTCTGAAATGCGCGAATATCAAAAGGGACTGAGATTTTTGGAATATAATGATATGTTTTAAGTTTCATCAAAATTGGATAAAAATTTTGACCTCTACTAGAGGGTCCATAACATTTGAATAACATACTTATATACAATTTGCATACAAAGAGCGGCCATTTTGTCGGCAGTTTCATTTCGATTTTCCCAAAATTCCAATTCAACCTTCATTATGGTGGTATAGTGATCTAAACTGTTTTTGCAATCAACATTTTTTTTCAACCAATCAGGGGCCATAATCCAGGAAGTTACGATCCGATATGTGCGAATATCGAAAGGAACCAAGATCTTTGGGTTATTATAAACGTGCATTTCAAGTTTCATCAAAATCGGATCAAATATTTTACCTTCAGAGGGACACAAGTGAAAAAAGGCGATTTTTTGTACAATCAGGGGCCATAATTCAGGAAGTTACGATCCAATATGCGCAAATATCGAAAGCAACCAAGATTTTTTGGTTATAAACATGCATTTCAAGTTTCAACAAACCGTGATATACCATATTTTTACACGATTCTCGTACAAGCGGCGGCCATTTTGTCATCAACCTTCAATACGGTGGTATGGTGATATACTAAAACGTTTTTTTAAATTGGATAAAAATTGTGACCTCTGGAGGGACCACAAGCCAAAAACGTTATTTTTCGTACAATCAGGGGCCATATTTCTGGAAGTTACAATCCGATATACGCGAATATCGAAAGGAACCAAGATCTTAGGGTTATAAACATGCATTTCAAGTTTCAACAAACCGTGATATATCATATTTTTACACGATCCTCCGGAGGGACCACAAGCCAAAAACGTGATTTTTCGTACAATCAGGGGCCATATTTCTGGAAGTTACAATCCGATATGCGCGAATATCAAAAGGAACCAAGATCTTAGGGTTATAAACATGCATTTCAAGTTTCATCAAAATCAGATAAAAATTGTGACCTTCAGAGTGTCCACAAGATAAAAACATGATTTTTCGTACAATCAGGGGCCATAATCCATGAAGTTATGGTCCGATACATGCCAATATCGCAAGGAACCGAGATCTTTGGAAGATAGACCTATATTTCAAGTTTCGTCAAAATCCGATAAAAATTGTGACTTGTAAAGTGTTCCCAAACAAATTGTGGACGGACGGACATGGGCGACGACAAAATATGTCCACATGAAAATGTGAATCCAAATAAATATAAAGAGAGAGGAATCCAAAACCATTTGAATAACATAAACTTAGATGGGATCCAAGTCATAATAAACTTGATACGGTGACACCAGTAGTAGTCATGGGTATCAAAAAAACATCTTTTATAGCATCAAACGTTTCGTAAGTGTAAAAACTTACTTCCTCAGAGAATACAACTACAATGATACATTATTGAAGTACAAGGTTAGTCATAGTAACCAGTGATGTCATAATGTTAATATGATGTCATAGCTTTGATGACATAATATAAAGAATAAGCTAAATATAGATAAATGATGTATAGTTAAAAGATAGGTTGCCAGGCAACGAAACATACGCCCACAGCAGCTTAATCGTCCAAGAGGTCGTTAAGGGTTCTTGCATATTTCTTCTTTTGTAGGTAATTAGGAGTATTTAATAGACAATTTCATACAAATGACATTATAATTTTCGTTGTTTGAGGGTCCACAAGATTCTAAAAACTAAAACAAGGGCCTTAACTCTGGAAGTAATCCACAGAAATTGTTGAAATTCGACAAAATTTTTTGTTTTACTAATTAAAATAGTGCATATAAATTTCATACAGATCGGATGATGACTTTTGTTGTTCGACGTTCACAAGGTTCAACAAAGTAAAACAAGGGCCATAACTCTAGAAATAATTGACGGAAATTGCTGAAATTCAATAGGCTTCTTCATTTCACTAATTTATATGATGCATATAAATGTCATACAGATCGGATAATAACTGTTGTCATTAGAGCTTTCACAAGTTGCAACAAAGTAAAACAAGGGCCATAACACTAGATGTAATTAACGGAAATAGCTGAAATTCAATAGGCTTCTTCATTTTACTAATTTAAACAATATATATAAATCTCATACAGATCAGATGATAACTTTTGTCGTTAAAGCGTTTACAAGGTGCAACAAAGTGAAACAAGGGCCATAACTCCACAAGAAATTAACGGAAGTTATTGAAATTAAATAGGCTTCTTCATTTCACTAATGCAAACAACATATATCCATTTCAAAACCATCAGATGATAAATGTAGTCTGTAGAGTGTTCACAAGAAAATGTGGACGGCAGACGAACGGACAGGGGCGACGGCAATATACGACCACATTTCCATGTGGGCGTATCAAAAAGGTGTAGAATTAATTTACAGGCATTTCATTTAAACCACTAGGCCATACAGTGTTTAATCTGTTGATCCAAATTTATTTAGCAATAGTGAGTCTGGCTCTATCGCATAAGGGGCATAACTCTCACTTATCGTTATTCAAGCAGGCGTTTTCAGACCACAATTAAAAATCACATGTCAACATTCAAATTCATATGTAATAAAAAATAGATGCACCTGGTTATTTTTCAAATTTAATTCCAGTACGATATTCAAATTTATGTCAGTAATATTGCTAAAAATTAGGTGTTGTCGTAATACGACAGAATGAAAGCGTGCTGACCCGTACCTGTTCCAAATTCCTCGAAAATTACCATATTTTTCGGGGTATAAGTCAATACATTTTCCAGCGGAAATCCGGCATTCGTCTTGTACTCAGTTTCGACTTACATACAGAAGTTTAAAAAAATGACATCCCAAATTTATTTGGCAGTAACCGTCGCAATCGACCCTAGCAGGTGCTATCATCTAAAACAGTTAACTACTTACATTATTCCAAATTAAAAACACTTATATGGATAAACTACTTCTGAATTTATTAACATGCTACGTTTCGATACACATACAGATATCGTTATCAAGCAAATAATGATTTATAACAAAAATGTGTTGCAATATATAGTTAACAATTGGAAACCATGTAACAGATTAATCATTAATTAAGAATTAACAAGATGAGAGAAGTAATAATATGGATAAACAATTACAAAGGATTAACAAATTGAAAGATTGTAATGTATTGATAACAATTAGAAATTATTTGAATTTAGCCGATCAAACTAATAATTATAAGAGATTAACGAGATGAGAGATAGCAATATATAGATAACAATTAAACTCTAATTAGCAGGTGAAACCATAACTACAAGATGAAAAGAGTTAACCGCACAGGCAAGAAATCGAAAACTAGGCGAAGGAAACATATGAGAAGCGCTAGAAATTCAAAAACATAACCCAAAATTAAATAGGGACTCGGGACATTTTCTCCCAAATCTTTGGGTGGATTTATTTAATCCCGATTAATGTGTGTTTTTTGTATGTTTTCCTTCGCCTAGTTTTCGATTGTTTAATTGTTATCTATATATTGCTATCTCTCATCTCGTTAATCTCTTATTATTATTAGTTTGATCTGCTAAATTCAAATAATTTATAATTGTTATCAATACATTACAATCTTTCAATTTGTTAATCCTTTGTAATTGTTTATCCATATTATTACTTCTCTCATCTTGTTAATTCTGAATTAATGATTAATCTGTTACATGGTTTCCAATTGTTAATTATATATTGCACCACATTTTTGTTATAAATCATTATTTGCTTGATAACGATATCTGTATGTGTATCGAAACGTAGCATGTTAATAAATTCAGAAGTAGTTTATCCATATAAGTGTTTTTAATTTGTGTTAATAAATTCAGAAGTAGTATATCCATATAAGTGTTTTTAATTTGTGAAATCTACCTCTATATGTCTTATAAGGATTACATTATTCCAATCGAAATATTCGTCAACATTTCTTAGAGTGTTTATTTATTTATTTAGAAATATAAACCCAATTCAAAATATGATCATAAATCCGAGAATATGCCATTAAAATAGAATCTTTAGACGTGTTATAGTTGGCACGTTTACATCTCTTAATTTCACGTGTCTCGCGAGATTTCTACTTTCATTTCATTTCATTGAAAACATCAGTCACATTACCAGTATAGACTTAATTTTTTTTATATTAAGGCTAATTGTTTAAATTGCCATAGTTCTAATGTTATATATTGTATAACTTATGAATTTTGTAAGAAACAGTATGTTGGCCAAACGATCACCCCCTTTAGTACCAGACTTAATAGTCATAGAAGTAATATTAAATTAAAAAAGATTGGAAAATCACCTCACATAGCCCCACACTTTAATACACCTGGTCATGAATCTTATGTCTGCACTGTGATGGATAAAATCCCTCAGAAGATAAAGCCAAACTCAATATTTCTGAACCACTTTGGATCCACAGATTAAATAAACACTGTATGGCCTAGTGGTTTAAATGAAATGCCTGTAAATTAATTCTATACCTTTTTTAACTTTACTATATCATACGTAACTAACGTACGAAAATAAAATGGTAGCTGGCTTTTTTTTCGCACGTATACAGTGAATGGCCATTTTGCTCAGTAATCCCAGCCAGAAATTGGCTATTTTTTTTAAATTGCGTTAAAGTTTTAAATTTTTGTTTAGAACTTAAATAAATTAACTTTTAGTCAATCCCCACGCTTAAAACATTAACAGAATTGATTGTGTATATCTGAAATAGACACGACCGAAGCACAAAATAGTGCCAATATGAGTTGTAGATAATGTTATTTTTGTGAAAAATCATTGGAAGAAGCGATAAGACGTTCTGTACGGATTATACAGTCCTAAAGGCTGCGAGAAGACTATTGTTTACAATGTTACATTGTGTCTTGTAATATTGATAATGATCATAACGATGGTGTTTACTTTTGTTTGTTGATGTGACCTCATGACCTGTGACGTTTAGATAACGTCATATGGATATCATGGCTATTCACTGTGTCAGAGTCACTTCTCTGCAGGTAGGGTGAGTCTGTCGTTCAGATTGTTACTATATTAGTCTTTATATTATGTCATCAAAGTTATGACGCCATATTAACATTATGACATCACTGGTTACTATGAATCAAAGCCCTGTATAGGGAAAGTTACGACAACTCATTTACAGGCGCCACAAAAACTATGATGTCATGGCGTAATATAGCTTTACGTAACAAAATGGTTTTTTTTTTTTCTTAGTATAACGATTTACGGGCTATAATTTATCCTAAAAAAATTGCAAAAGAAACCAATGCAGTTTGGTTCAATAATAATATGTCAGACAAAATCATACTCAAAATTGGCCATGGCAAAATTACATGATTAACATAATTCAATTTGGCGTTCTTCAGGAATTATTGAGAGCGCTATATCGTAATCAGTGTCTTTCAGTGGTGGTAGGATAAATAATTTATTTTTAAATTCCTCAAACACAGAGTGGTTATGCAAGCGAAGTGTGTCGAAAAATCGATTTTGACAACCATCAATTTAAAAATGTATTTTTCCTTTGATGGAGGGCATTTCTTTTAAAATGACTGCCAAATTTTAAAAAAATGAAAACCCCCCATTAATTTGGTAATAAAAGGGCAGCGATAATCTCAAAAATTTAATTTCGAGAATTCTTGATGGTAGAAATTTAAATGGTGGAATTTTCATTAATTGTCATTTCTTTCCGTTGGGTATGACTTGTAATAGGTGGTATATTAATCCCGAAATGACATAGTTGCTCTTAAATGAATATATTGTTAAAACGCTTTAAACATCTAGATGCTATAGACAAGGTGTAAAAAATTCAAGCTACATTGAAATGTTGGCATTAAAGATCTAATCATAGTTTTTAGTTATACACTGTTAACCACCCGTAGATGTTATAAATCACATAATTTATTCAGCTCGACGCAAGATTTAAAATGAATAGATGCGGTTCGTTTAACTTGAATGTAGATATTATATCATGCATATATAGGACCTCTCAGTTGAATCATATCATAGGAATATCTTATTAATATTTGCATAGTTTTACGTATTTTTCGACATTAAGGTGTATGTGTTCTATAGTTCCATTTAGCCTATACATTTTCTTGTTTCACTTGATTAACAAAACATTGTGTAGGAATGTAGGCTTTTATAGATTAAACAAAAAGCTGATAAATGTTGAGATGTGTGGAACATGCTTGAGGGGATTTGTAACAAATCTCAGGCACGATATACTCTTAAAAAAAAGTAGGGGATATTAAAATGCAAATACATATGCAGGTTGTAATATGATAAATAGTCATGAATACTAGACATGCTTTGAGAGTATGTCCACAGATGAAGAACTTATCGCCCCAACAGAACCACTGAGCGGCACATGCGACACGCAATAGCGCCATACACGAGGGACGCAAATACCCAAAGGTGTCGGACAAACTCTAAAGCAACTGTGTCTCCTTCACTGGACCCCTTCAATGTATGTCTACCTGTGGAATAACATGTACATTATTTGTATCTGTTAAATTTGTGAGGTTTAAATATTTGATTAATATTATTATTTACTTATGGGCGGTGAGAGATAACGTCTTACCCCAAACAAATTGCAAAAGACACCAGCAAGTTTCGTAGAGCGATATCTCGTCTCACATGTCAGTGATGAAACATATGCCCGAAACACATGTTACGCTAGACACCTTTTATTTAAAGGAGCTAAATCGCTAATATTTGGAACTTACAAATTGACACAAATGGGTAGCAACGTATATAATAATGTAATATGAATGTAAATAAACTGATTTACATTCAATCGTTTCCGTTTTTACTCTAATTTCAAAGCAGTTATGTTCGGCGAAATACGCCAGAAGTCTCAATCCAATGACAATCTCTTACGTCTGGTTATCCCAGTCTACACAGATAGTATTTATTGCGCATGCTCTCCAGATAAGAATTTGGGGTCACCGTTTGACAAGACTTGTGGAATATGTCTAACCTCGTTCTTCAATTCAGTTGCTACAATTTGCGCTGAAATGCATTATTGGATATCAGAAGCCCATCTTTTTCCGGTAAGATCACAACACCAATGTTGATTAAAATTGACAAATAATTAGTGTTTTCATTGTCGAAAAGATGGGCTTCCGTTATCCAATATTTAAGACAAAATTAACATTTTACCTTTGTAACAACGGACTCGAAAAACGAGGTTAGACATATTCCACAAGTCTTGTCAAACGGTGATGCCATATTCTTATCTGAAGAGCATACGCAATAAATACAATCGGTGTAGACTGGAATAACCAGATGCTAGTGACTGCCATTCGATTGAGACCTCTGAATTATTTCGCCGAACATAACTGACTTGAAATTAGAGTAAAAACGGAAACGATTGAACGAAAATCAATTTATATACATTCATATTACATTATTATACACATTGCAACCCATTTATGTCAATTTCTAGGTTCCAAATATTAGCGATTTAGCTCCTTTAAATTACACTGATTTTAATTTACACTGATTTTAAATGTTTTATCTAGTCAATTTAAAGAAATTTCTATTTTCGAAAAATTGATGATACAATTAATGATTGGTGACCCAATCCGGAATAGCTCCAGACCAAAAAATAATGGAATTTCAGGCATTTATTTTGCCAGCTAGAAGACAAAAAGGTTTTATCTTCCAAATTACTATATAATTTAAATTTCAATAGCCAAAGGCAGAAGAAAATTTTGATCAAAAGGCAGTCTTTTCCGATAATTCTGACAGTGAACCGTGAAAGTTTTCGGTATGTTTTGAGATGGATTTGACAGACTGTGTTAAGTGGACTGTATCCAAAAATACTTTACAAAGGAAATCTTGGGCTATAATTACTTTGAAGTCTTAGAGTGTGTGGAGAAATAATCAAAATGTGGACGAAAAGAAAGATATCTTCGACATGGATAATCGATCTAATAATGCCAATAAGTACACCGTCTATTTTGGTGCTGAATGCTACAAACTTGTCAAAAGAATAAAAATTTATTTCTGTGCTCTTTGTATTATTTCCATCATCAACGTCATCAGCGGTTGATATGAACCGAATATATCAACCTGAGTTCATATCAACCTGTCATGACGTCATCAGAGGTTGATATGAACCAAATATATCAACCTATGATGACGTCATGACAGGTTGATATGAGATATAACTGCTATGCACATCAAAGAAAAAACTACTGCCAGTTGTATATAAATTATTACATACCTGTATATTCAACTGGCAAAATAATCAGAGGATTGTTTGGAGGTTCAGGTTGATCATTCCAAATAACATCAACTAAGTTTTGATCAACAGGTACTAAAATGCAGCCATTAGCTTTCAGAGATTTATGTAGTGGTTTCCATTTTTCTAAAATATTAAACAGTGATGGTATTTTAAATTTTTCTGTTTGAACCTTAGCCCATTAAGTTTATTTTTTTTCTGTTTCTAGATAATGCATATAATCTGAGATTAAACCAGCGGCTGCCAGGCAGGATACGCCCACATTTTCGAGAGATGGATAGAGAACAAGCTAAAAAGAAAGTGATTTTTCCTACAATCAAGGGCCATAATTCAGGAAATTACAATTTAATATTCGCGAAGATCTTTTGGTTATATACTTACATTTCAAGTTTCAAGAAAATCGGATAAAAATTGTGACCTCTATAGGGTCCACAACCTTGATATACCATATTTTTACGCTATTTGAGAATGAGGGGCGGACATTTTGTCTGTCAGTTTTGGGGCGATTTTCACGAAATTTGAACTCAGTCGTCCTTAGGGTGTAACGGTGATATACTAAAATGTTCTTTTAAATCCGATAAAAATTATGACCGCTATAGGGTCCACAAGCTAAAAATGCGATTTTTCCTACAATCAAGGGCCATAATTCAGGAAATTACAATTCAATATGCGCAAATATCGAAAGGAACCGAGATCTTTGTGTTATAAACTTACATTTCAAGTTTCAACAAAATCGGATAAAAATTGTGACCTCTATAGGGTCCACCACCTTGATATACCATATTTTTACGCTATTTGAGAACGAAGGGCGGCCATTTTGTCTGTCAGTTTTGGGTCGATTTTCACGAAATTCGAACTCAGCAGTCCTTAGGGTGTAACGGTGATAAAATAATACGGGTTTTTAAATCTGATAAAAATTATGACCTCTATAGGGTCCACAAGCTAAAAACGCGATTTTTCGTACAATCAGGGGCCATAATTCAGGAAGTTACGGTCCGATATGCGCGAATATCGAGAGGAACCGAGATCTTTGGGTTATAAACTTACATTTCAAGTTTCAACAAAATCGGATAAAAATTGTGACCTCTATAGAGTCCACAAGCTAAAACCGTGATTTTTCGTACAAACAGGGGCCATAATCCATGAAGTTTCGATCTGATACATGCCAATATCGAAAGCAGCCAAGATCTTTTGGAGATAAACCTATATTTCAAGTTTTGTCAAAATCGGATAAGAATTGTGACCTGTAGAGTGTCCACAAACAAATTGTGGCCGGACGGCCGGACATCCTGACAGACAGGGACGACAATAATATACGTCCACATGAAAATGTGGGCGTATAAAAACATAGTTGCTAATAGCTATTTAGCACAACTGGTTCCGTGTATATAACGGAATGGACCATAGTGTTTCAAGATAAATATTATAAGAAAGCAATAGGATGCCTTCAGGAAATTTCTCATAATTTACAATATACTGGTATCTATTATTTTTTATCATTGACTTACATGTGTATGCTTAATTAGTTTACAAATATGGAATATTTCTCACCCACAGATAACATGAAAGGGTCTACACCAACACGTCCTCCTACAGGTAAATTCTGAAATGGACAGGCACCAGAATATATAAGTCAAACAACGTACTCTTATAAAATAATTTGAAATATAGCTACCAAAACTAGTGTAGGCCTACATACCTTTGTCAGCCATTCTGCTTGTGTTGGGGTATCTGGTAAACCTGTGAAAAAAAGAAGAGAAAGAAAACAGTTTATTGTGAATCAGTGTAGAACTACAGAAAATGGTGAAAATAAATTTTAGTTTTAGGACAAATACAGTTTGCGGTCTCTGAAGTCTGAATTTAAACATGTCTTGATCACCCAGCTTCAATGTTAATTAAATTCTTTTTAATCATTCCAATTTAACCTCGCGAAAAGAAATTCTTCATTTGAAAAAGAAGTCAAAGTAATATTATTGTTTACCCGACTGCTTTATGATGGACAGAAGTGACAGTGTAAGCCCTGTGGCTGTTGGTCCAATCAGTTAAAATACATACGATACAAAAAGATTATGGTAATCCAAATTAGACAAAATCAAAAATTAAACCTTACCATGTTTCATTAATATCCAGTTACTATCCAGTTGCTTCTCTGCTTGTAAGAAATATCTACCATCAGTCCACAAGGCAGCTTTAGAATCGGTTACTATCGCGGTACCTATATTTAAATATAATAAAACATTATACTAACAGTAGTCTCATTCTCTTAAAGAATTACTAATCAGACATAAGACATATAGAGTCCATAACCTTGATATATCATACTTTTACGCTATTTGAGTACGAAGGGCGGCCATTTTGTCTCTCATTTTTGTTCTGATTTTTACGAAAATACGAACTCAACCATCCTTAGGGTGTAACTGTGATATATTCAAATGTTTTTTTTTAAATCGGATAAAAATTATGACCTCTATAGGGTCCATACGCTAAAACCGCAATTTTTCGTACAATCAGGGGCCATAATTCAGAAACTTATGGTCCGATATGCGCGAATATGGAAAGGAACCGAGATCTTTAGGGTCCACAAGCTAAAACCGCGATTGTTCGTACAATCAGGGGGCATAATTCAGGAAGTTATGGTCCGATATGCGCGAATATCGAACGGAACGGAGATCTTTGGGTTATAAACTTATATTTCAAGTTTCAAAAAAATCGGATAAAAATTGTGACCTCTATAGGGTCCACAAGCTAAAGACGTGATTTTCCGTACAATCAGGGGCCATAATTCAGGAAGTTATGGTCCGATATGCGCGAATATCGAAAGGAACCAAGATCTTTGGGTTATAAACTTACATTTCAAGTTTCATCAAAATCAGAACAAAATTGTCACCTCTAAAGGGTCCACAACCTTCATATACCATATTTTTACGCTATTTGAGTACCAGGGGCGGCCATTTTGTCTGTCAGTTTTGGTCCGATTTTTACGAAATTTGAACTCAACTATTCTTAGGGTGTAAAGGTGATATATTCAAACGTTTTTATAAATCAGATAATAATTGTGACCTCTAGAGGGATCACAAGCTAAAAACGCGATTTTTCGTACAATCAGGGGCCATAATTCAGGAAGTTATGATCCGATACACACTAATATCGAAAGGAACCAAGATCTTTGGGTTATATATAAACTTACATTTCAAGTTTCATCAAAATCAGAAGAAAATTGTGACCTCTAGCGGGTCCACAACCTTGATATACCATATTTTTACAGATTTTTATATCGAATAAAAATTATGACCTTTATAGGGTCCAAAAGCTAAAACCGCTTATTATCATGCTTTTGGGCCAAGTTTGGAACATAGATGGTAAATAAAATTGGTATTTTTTTGGTGATTAATATGCAGTTTATCACCCCAAATAACAAACCAGCGGCTGCCAGGCAGGATACGCCCACATTTTCGACAGATGGATAGAAAACAAGCTAAAACAAAAGTGATTTTTCCTACAATCAAGGGCCATAATTCAGGAAATTAAAATTCGATATGCGCAAGTATCGAAATATAAACTTACATTTCAAGTTTCAACAAAATCGGATAAAAATTGTGACCTCTATAGGGTCCACAAGCTAAAAACGTGATTTTTAGTACAATCAGGGGCCATAATCCAAGAAGTTACAGTATGATACATGCCAATATCGAAAGGAACCAAGATCTTAGGAGGATAAAGCTATATTTCAAGTTTCTTTGAAATCGGATAAAAATTTTGACCTGTAGAGCGTCCCAAAGAATTGTGGACGGACGGACGGCCGGCCGGCCGGACGGACAGGGGCAATGACAATTTCGTTAAGATCCGATATGAGACAATATCGAAAGGAACCAAGATCTTTAGGTTATAAACATGCATTTCAAGTGTAATGGTGATATAATCAAACGTTTTTTTTAAATCGGATAATAATTATGACCTCCAGAGGGACCACAAGCCAAAAAAGGCGATTTTGCGTACAATCAGGGGCCATAATTCAGGAAATTACTATCCGATATGCACAAATATCGAAAGGAACCATGATCTTTAGGTTATAAATATACATTTCAAGTTCCATCAAAATCGAATTAAAATTGTGACCTATACTGGGTCCACCACCTTGATTTACCATATTTTTACACTATTCGCGTACAAACAGCGGCCATTTTGTCCGGCAATTTTGGTCCGATTTTCACAAAATTCGAACTCAACCTTCCTTAGGCTGTAACGGTGATGTAATAAAACGTTTTTTTAAATCGGATAAAAATTATGACCTTTATAGGGTCCACAAGCTAAAAAAGTGATTTTTCGTACAATCAGGGGCCATAATTCAGGAAGTTAAGGTCCGATATACACAAATATCGAAAGGAACTGAGATCTTTGGGTTATAAACTTACATTTCAAGTTTCAACAAAATTGGATAAAAATTGTGACATCTATAGGGTCAACAAGCTAAAATCATGATTTTTGGTACAAACAGGGGCCATAATCCATGAAGTTTTGATCCGATACATGCCAATATCGAAAGCAGCCGAGATCTTGTGGGGATAAACCTATATTTCAAGTTTCGTCAAAATTGGACAAGAATTGTGATCTGTAGAGAGTCCACAAACAAATTGTGGACGGACAGACGTCCAGACGGACGGACGGATGTCCGGACGGACAGGGGCGACGACAATATACGTCCACATGAAAATGTGGGCGTATAAAAATGTTGTATCTTATAAACAAAAATTACAGTGCTAGCTTTAAAGTGTGCATTTTAGACGGCTCTTATCAACAAAATTACAATGCTAGCTTTAAAGTGTGCATTTTAGATGGCTCAACGCCCTTAATTAACAAATTAAAAGTACCGGTAAGAGGGCAACTGTCAGTCACTGTCCATAAACAAATTAAGTGCTTGTGCTATAATAGCTACCATACTCTTCATATATTGGATCAAAAACTATTCTAGTATCTTCTATATAAACGCATGTGCACTGTGTTATTTGTTTACAGTTGGTGATAGACTGAGTCAACATCATATCACAGCTGGTATGTTACTTTATGGAAATTTGGTATATATATATATATATGTAAAGTAGAGACGTCAATCTTACTAGAAACATAATGGATTCTCTGAAAAACACCCATGGGGCAAGCACTGGGCAAAAATGTCAGGGTATCACTAACTGTCAGCATAACAGCTTATTGTCTCCCAGCTTGACTTATGGAGCGTTTTTTAATTTCTTGGTCGAAAGGTTAGGCAGTTTAAGTAACATTGAGGGTTTAAACAGTCTTTGTAATTAAACAGCGGAAGAGAAATTGGCAGAATATAATCCAAGAATTTACTTTGGCTTCAATATGTATGGTAAATGGACAGTAAGTAATGACAAATACATTCTGAAAATGGGCCCTCCCTCTAACAAGTTATGTGACAAACATGGCTTCTAAAGATAGATTTTTTTATATCTTGTGGTATTTCCTCTCGAATACAATTTTTCGAGAGGGATTTGAAGCCAATTTTTGATGGATTAATTAGTTTGAATATGTTTTTAGTCCATGTATATCATCAAATCATCCAGCAGTTTGTATACGGGAAGGCATACTAATCCTTGAGTGGCATTTAGCGATTATTGCCGATTAAGTATAATAATAGACACAATTATTATAGAAAACAATCACTGGTTTGCACTATATATCTGTAAAGAAAATGTTAAGAACTAACCACCCGAGCCTGTAAAACCTGATATATAATCTCTTCTTTTATCACTGTCAGCCACATATTCACTCTGAAGTTAAAAAAAAAGGTAAATGGATTTTAAAAGATAATGTAACTGTATCCTGCTAAAGGATTTGGAGACTATTCGATTTCAACTTTTGCACATACTGTAATCAATTCATATATAATTATACCAGATAAATAAATTGCATGGTAAAATAATTATGCTGAACAGATTGCAATTTCAATAATATTATTAGCTTCTGATTAACTTTGTTTACCTGGTGCGCATCTCCTGTGGGTACAATGTAAGCCTGAAGGGGTTCACAAACATACTTTGTATTCTTCATTAAAGCTCTCAGTTTTGACAATATAGCAGTTGTACTTTTGGCACTCATCTTGTCTTTTATGCTATAGGCCTACAGACTGAAAAATATCAAAATAAAAAAATCATCAATCTTACAATATAGCGACATACTTTTTTTTTTGTTTCATATAGGACTTTCTGTATTACTTTAACTCAAGTAATTATGAGTGTTTCCCAATGTTATTTACAATGTCGTTGTAAGCAAGGCGCAGGACATGAATCTAAACTTATGCTGAAGTCCTGTAAAACTCCCTTACTGTGGGGGGGGGGGGGTGTTTGGATGGCTGAATGGTTAGCGTGCGCGCGCTGTATCATAAAGTCTGTCATTGAGTCGACTGGCGTGGTTTCGAATCCCCGGTTGTACGTGGCAAGGAGTAGGGTCGCCTGTCCAACCTCGTGGGTTTTCTCCGGGTCCTCCGGTTTCCTCCCACTGCTAAAGACCCCTACGCGCAAGAAAATTATGTAAATAAAATTAAACCATATGTTAGTCCCGAAATTACCTAGTTTGTGTCGAGTGGACGTTAAACCCCATTTCTCTCTCTCTCTCTCCCTTACTGTGGGACTTTGTGTACAACGTCACATAATGTCACACTGCATAATTTACATCCTGCACGAAAAGGGTATTTTATGTAATAAAATATTTATGTATCATATGATGTTTAGGAATAAGAAAGGTTGCCAGGCAACGAAACATACGCCCACAGCGGCTAAATCGTCCGAGCAGTCGATAAGGGTTGTTCCATATTTATTCCTTTGTAGGTAATTGGGGGGCCTTTACAAGACAGTTCCATACAGATCAGATTATAATTTGTGCCGTTTGAGGGTTCACAAGGTTCTACAAATTGAAACAAGGGTCTCAACTCTGGAAGTAATCTACAGAAATTGTTGAAATTTGACAGGCTTTTTCATACATATCGGATGATAACTTTCATCGATCGAGCATTAACATGGTTGAACAAAATGAAACAAGGGCCACAACTCTAGAAGTAATAAACGGAAATTGTTGAAATTCGATAGGATTCTTCTCTTTACTAATTTAAATGACACATGTAAATTTCATACAGATCGGCAGATAACTTTTGATGTTAGAGCATTCACAAAGTTCAATAAAGTGAAACAAGGGCCATAACTCTAGACGTAATAAACAGAAATTGCTGAAATTCAATAAGCTTCTTCGTTTCACTTATTTAAATAATGCATATAAATTTCAGAAAGATCGGATGATAACTTTTGGTGTTAGAGCGTTCACAAGGTTCAATAAAGTGAACCTGGAAGGGCCATAACTCTAGAAGTAATGAACAGAAATTATTGAAATTAAATAGGCTTCTTCGTTTCACTAATTTAAATCATGCATATAAATTTCACAAAGATAACTTTTGGCGTGAGATTGTTCACAAGATTGAACAAAGTGAAACAAGGGCCACAACTTTAGAAGTAATAAACAGAAATTGCTGAAATTCGATAGGATTCTTCTCTTTACTAATTTAAATGACACATGTAAATTTCATACAGATCAGCAGATAACTTTTGATGTTAGAGCGTTCACAAGGTTAAACAAAGTGAAACAAGGGCCATAACTCTAGAAGTAATAAACAAAAATTGCTCAAATTCAATAGGCTTCTTCGTTTCCCTAATTTAAATATTGCAGATAAATTTCACAAAGATCAGATGTTAACTTTTGGCATTAGAGCGTTCACAAGGTTCAACAAAGTGAAACAAGGGCCATAACTCTAGACGTAATAAACGGAAATTATTGAAATTAAATAGGCTCTTTCATTTCACTAATGCAAACAACATATATCAATTTTAAAACAACTGGATGATAACTTTTGGTGTTAGAGCGTTCACAAGAAATTGTGGACGACGGACGGATCGACCGACAGACGGAGTGACAACAATATACATCCACATTTCTATGTGGGTGTATAAAAAATTACAAATGTGACTCAGATGAATAAAATATTTGTTTTGAAGGCTAAACATAGAGTGTATTTCGAAATGACGCCATTTTTGGTTATATTGCAAATGTGAAATTGGTTCCGCCCAGTCAAAAGCATCTATGGCAAGGTTTGGGGGCATTTGTGTGGAACTTTTCACCACAACAGTTCCACAAGATATTGGGTTTCTGAAAATAAATACATTCCACAAGACGTTCGACTTAAAATAATATTTATAGAGTGTTTTGGGTCTGTGGTGTTTTTCACCACAAGAGTTCCACAAAATTATTTTTTTTTTCAAAAAATTCTTCTTATACCCCCTATGTGCCTTTGTGTTACCACATTCCACAAAATTTTCGACTGAGAATAATTTTGATACAGTGTTTTGGTCTGTGGTGTTTTTCACCACAAGGGTTCCACAAGATATTGGACTTTGAAAAAAATCTTTTTTTTTTCCAAAAAAATCTTCTCATATCCCCTATGTGCCTGTGTGGTACCACATTCCACAAGAGTTCCACAAGAAATTGGACTTTGAAAAAAATCATTTTTTTACCAAAAAATTTCTTCTCAGACCTCCCTATATGCCAATGCGGTATCACATTCCACAAAATTCTCGAATAATTTTGATACAGTGTTTTGGTCTGTGGTGTTTTTCACCACAAGAATTCCACAAGACATTGAACTTAGAAACTTTTCCAAACGCCCCCAAACCTTGCCATGTCTAGTCAAAAGTGTCATTAGGCAATCGAATACTACTTGATGCTTTTACAGGCCACTTAACGTGAAAAGTGACTCATGCAAAATTGCCTATTTCTCGGCAACTACCGATATTTGAAACTAATTCTAACATACATTTTCTTTGTATGGGTTATTGCTACGAGTTTATGAAAGTTACAAAGAAATATATCAAAATATGAAGACGCTGGATGGGTTGTAAATAGCTTATTTTACACCTTTTAATGAAAAGGCCCGAAAATGCATCTTTTTGGTAATAACAGATTTGAAAAAAAGATGATATTTGCTTTCAAAAAGTGGTACCAAACTGCCAAAATTGTAGTTTTTGTTAAATTTATTTCACTTCCGGTGCTGACAGGAACCTGTACTGGTAACAAAAAAATTGACATCTTGAACAACGCAGCATATGAACTTTGTTTTATACAAATCGAACAATAAATAATTAATCTAGGTCTAAAAAACTGAATTAGCCAATGGCGGCCAAGGAAAATTACAGAAACAAAAAATGTTGACATTTTTGCTCAAATCAGATAACTCTTTAACCCTGGGTAAAATGCCATATAAAAATATTCATAAATAAAAAAGTATTCTGTAAAATTTTAAATTTTCGAAATTTGGCACTTAATATCTTTGAAGATTCAGCGACAATCAAAAATCAAAAGTAGCACTATGTGCCTTGTCTCCGGCTATGTCAAAATGCATCATATGTTAAAATCCGATGATTACTGTTAATACTACGGCATCTTTTTAAAAAAACGACAACTTCGGGATTTCGGACATTTCGCATTGTCACAGAACTCCAGAAATAGCTTTAATCTCTATGTCACACCCACTTTCCCTATAACACCGAAGAAATCGTATCCGACATGTAGTTTCTGAGATACAATCAAATTGGAAAAAAATAAATAATAATAATAAGAATAATCTTAAAGTAGCTAAGTTTCTAACTCGATATCATCCAAAATCTTCGACATTGAAAACACAAATTATTTGTCGATTTAAATCAACATTGGTGTTGTAACCTTACGGAGAAAAGATGGGTTTCTGGTATCCAATAATTAAGACAAAATAAACATTTTACCGTTGGTACACAAATCGTGTCCCATGGTGCATTTCAGCACAATTTTAACAAGGGACTCGTAGACAGAGGCTAGATAAGTCATGTCAATCGGTGACACCATATTCTTATCTGGAGAGCATGCGCAATAAATTCTATCGGTATAGAGTGGAATAACTAGACGCTAGAGATTGCCATTCGATTGAGACTTCTGGTGTATTTCGACGAACATAACTGATTAGAAATTGCAATAAAAACAGACACGATTGAATGTAAATCAGTTTATATACATTCACATTACATTATTATATGCATTGCGACCCATTTCAGCATTTGTGTCAATTTCTAGATCCAAAATATTAGCGATTTAGCTCCTTTAACAAAAACAATAGTGTTTCACACAAGCTACGCAGTGTGAAACCCTAATAAATGACAGTCAGATTCTGATATAAAAAGAAAGAGCACGCTCAGCAATAATACATATTATTACATCTGACTGTACTAGCCCAGTTGTAGTTGTACTTGTAGTGTAGGCTACTTCATGGCAATGGACTTTTTTTGCCGCAAACCATGGGTTTATTCAGTGCCAACAAGACAATGGCATCATTTATAAAATTAAGAGTTAACGGTTACTACAGAAATTTAAACAATGTTATAATCATATTAATAATTTATATTCTTAAATGACACAAATACCGTACCAAAAACAAAACACTTCCATCGACGTAGCACCGAAATCAAGCACTTGCAACGAGAGTTACGTGCCCTTGCCGTCCCCGCCGGAAGTTCTCTTTTCGGCCTGCTACAACAACATTAGGTATGGATGAAGATTCCCCGATACAAAATCGACAAACATCCACTTTATCAATCGCAATTATATACCCCAATTAATGAAATTAAACATGCCATATCCCTATAAATATCGATATAGACTTATTTTCTCATTTTGTTATATTAAAGTAATGATTCGAGCGTTTCAAACGGTCACATGATTTTTGGACCAGGCATGATAAATTATGCCCGATGTAATATTGGTGTTTCATTTTTTTGAAGATTTTATATTGTTATATTTGTTACTAAATGCTATATCTTACAAAATCAATCTGATTTACAAGGAAGGTAAAGCCGGCTCAAGACTTTAAAGTAGCTAAGTCTCTAACTCAGTATCATCAAAAGCCCTGGACTTTGAAAACACAAATTATTTGTCAGTTTAAATCAACACTGGATTGATGTCGTGATCTTACCGAGAAAAGATGGGCTTCTGACATCCAATATTTAAGACAAAATAAACATTTTACCATTGGTCATAATGCGTTTCAGACTTAATAATATATAGGCGTACAGGGAAATTTTTGACTGGGGGACGGTGGTGGTTGGTGCCCAAAAAATGTAGTTAGGTTCTTACTCTTAGTATGTTACATAATAATAATAAATTCGCCGTTAAATTGGACTCATTCAAGAACACAATATTTTTTTTATACAACTTTTATAAAGTACAATTGTGTGCCCAAATTTTCCCAGCATTTGGTGCCCAAAATGGGGGGGTGGCCCCCCCCCCCCCCCCAGCTCGTACACCTATGGTTTCAGTGCCATCTGTAATAAGGGACTCGAAGAACTAGGCTAGACATATTCCACAAGTCATAGTAGCAATGCAAAAGCTCGCTAGGGGCGCCACTGATACTATTTTTATCACTGTCAAAAAATCTGACCGTAAAATCTGCCGTTTTTGTTCCGCGACTTCGGGAAGGTGTATGACCACCAACACCGATGACTTTTTACTTTTCGTGAAGTGGAGAAAACAGAGTTTGTGTTGAGCGTGGTTTGGACATTCAGAAACGTATTTACGACTGATTTTTTATATTTTGAAAAAATAAAATTATCAGACAAAGGCAAAAACGACGCACGTCACTGGAAGTAAACGTATTTTCTCATAAAATGACCCCTTTTCTAGTTATATTGACGGTATTTCATTCACCAACTGTTGGAACTAGTGCCAGAGCTCGGGAAAACAAATCATGTGGAAGAAAAGAAAAGATAACTCCACCCGATGTGGGTGCAGACCACGGCAGCTTTCTTGTTATTGTGAATGTGTCAAACCAAGTTTCCCTTTTGCTAACAGTGGGCTGATTCTGAGGCACGATTTTCACGTGCACTTTTTAGGGGTATAAAGTCTTTTGCACGGTTTGAATTCTTTCTCTTGTATTGTTACAATATTTTATTGATTCCAATAACACTTCCCTAAAATTAAATTTTTTAAAAAAATTATCTCTTGGATTACTTTCTCTTTTATTGGTGATCAAATGACAGCCACATGGAATCTGATACAAGAAAATGAAATGGGGTTTAATGTTCTACTCCTACTGGGCTAATGAAGAGGGCGGGGGCGGGGGCGTGGTGGTGGGAACACACCATTATAGTGTGCTATGAGGGGAAACTTTGCCAAAACAGCGGCGCAACAGCCTACTCTTATTTCGAATTCCAACTGTCGAGGTTTCTTTTATGCGCACATGGGGGGAGGCTGGTGTGTATAACACAATGAACTTGCTCAGCTAATGCAGAAATTGAACACGGCACATCAAGTTGAGTGAGCCAATGTCCTACCCACTGAGCTACCGTGGCTGCCTGTTGCCAGAAAAGAGAATGGGCTAGATGAGTATGGGATGTCCAGTGCTCCATCCCCAGAATTCACTTTGTTTTGCGGATCAGGGAACCTGACAATGATAAGTTGAATGAAAAACAAGGTCGTACGGATGGATTAGCGGCGAACATTAAAGATCCCTAGATACCTACAAATCGAGGAGCCGTCTAGGAAGTTGGATTAATTCTGCCGGCATAAAGCAATACCCGAAATTTGAGGTCCATCATATGTGAATTCTATCTTTAAAAAGTCTTCAACGCAAATTAACCAAATTCGGGTTGTTTATCCATGTTGCAGACCCCATATCAAAACAAATAAATTATATAGCCCAAATTTAAAAATTCCAATAGATAGTTAATGGTCGGAAGGATATTTCCTGAAAATCTGATGCCAATATCTTCAATAGTTGCTGAGAAATGGTCTTCGGTCACTTTTTTGGCATATACAACCTACGAAATCTTGGGGAAATTTTCTGCATGTAAATTACACAGCGTCCATCAATATTTGCGTTTATTTTTTTGCGTGACTGCGACCTCTGGTCAGATGTTGATTCTACTCTCCTTGTGAAATGATGGCATATTCTACCATAAAATGTAGAGTTTAGTTTATTATTGTGGATGTAGATCTAATGTCTGTATCTTTTTCTTTTAGGCCAGAACCATGAAGTTCAACAAACTTGTATCCTCCTCGAGGAGAAAGAATAGGAAACGACACTTTACAGCTCCTTCAAATATTAGAAGGAAAATTATGAGTTCTCCAGTATCAAAAGAACTTAGAACTAAACATAATGTGAGAAGTGTACCTATTCGCAAAGATGATGAAGTTCAGGTAATATCTCTTTTTAGCAAGTACTAATAGAATTTCCAAAAAAATTCGATATTGTTTACATTTCCATGAATACCAGACAAACCACAGGCTATAACCAAAAATTGCCCTGTGGCATTTTTGGGAACTTCAATTTGCATTGTTCATGCCAAATTTGTTGAAAATTGAAAATCCATGTAGTAGGGGTTTCAGGTCATGTGACTTTAGTGTGAAATCGGACAGCCAGCGGCTGAAATATAGCCCACTTCAATCTACGATTTTGAATTACTATTTTTATACGCCCACATTGAAATGTGGTTGTATATTGTCGTCGCCGCAGGCGGTCCGGTGTCCACAATTGCTTGTGGACGCTCTAGAGGCCAAAGTTAATATCCGATTGATCTTAAATTTATACACATTGTTTAAGGTCTTGAGACGAAGAAGCCTATTGATTTTCAGTGATTTCCGATAATTACTGCCAGAGTTATGACCCGTGATCACTTAAAAAAATCTTGTGGATGCTCTAGAAGCCAAAGTTAATATCCGATTGACCTTAAATTTATATACAGTGTTTAAGGCAGGACACTACCTTATAAAAGACTGTATAGATTGATCTGTCAAATTTTGATATAAATAGTTAAAATTTGTTGATTTTTCAAGTCGTGTCCAGCCTTTATATTATATAGTGTTAAATATTTAGTCATTTATATAGGTAAATCAAACTTTTAACTTTTAACTTGCTTTTTCCGTACTCAATTTTTCACCCATATCAGGTCTTAGAAAATCAAATTCTCAAAATCTATGAGAGATAATGGTCTCTTCTTTGGAATACGATTAGTGCTATAGCTACTGTGTGCAATAAGGTGATTTTCAAAGTGTTTGTCATACATTTGAACATTTTATTGTACAAAATCTTTTTAGTGGTGTGTTCAGCCACACCCACTTGTTTTATGTGGGATGCAAAATGTTCTTTATTAACATTCAAATAGTAAAATTTATGCCTTATTGCACTCTTTAATGCCTATATATGTTATTCCAAATCACAAATAGTTTGTTTCAATAAAATTGTTGAAGATTTTGATTTCCTAACATAGCCACTGTGAATATATAAAAAATCCAATATGGCCACTATTTCCATGGCAACAAATACACATTTTGCGCTCAAATTATCAAATCTGATTTGGGACATCATATACTAATATTACACTAAATGGCAAGTTTCTGTTATCAATGTAAAATTCTTAGGTAGTGTCCTAGGAGCCTTAAGGTCTTGAGATGAAGAAGCCTTTTGATTTTTAGCGATTTCCGATAATTACTGCCAGAGTAATGGCCCTTGATCTCTTCAAAAAATCTTGTGGAAGCTCTAGGAGACAAAGTTAATATCCGATTGACCTTAAATTTATACACAGTGTTTAAGGTCATGAGACGAAGAAGCCTTTTGATTTTCAGCGATTTCCGATAATTACTGCCAGAGTTATAGCCCTTGATCACTTTGAAAAATCTTGTGGACGCTCTAGAGGTCAAAGTTAATATCCGATTGACTTTAAATTTATACACAGTGTTCAAGGTTATGAGACAAACAAGCCTATTGATATTTAGCGATTTTCTATAATTACTGCCAGAGTTATGGCCCTTGATCACTTTGAAAAATCTTGTGGACACTCTAGAGGCTAAAGTTAATATTTGATTGACTTTAAATTTATACACAGTGTTTAAGGTCATGAGACGAAGAAGCCTATTGATTTTCAGCGATTTCCGATAATTACTGCCAGAGTTATGGCCCTTGATCACTTTGAAAAATCTTGTGGACGCTCTAGTTGCTAAAGTTAATATCCGATTGACTTTAAATTTATACACAGTGTTTAAGGTCATGAGACGAAGAAGCCTATTGATTTTCAGCGATTTCCGATAATTACTGCCAAAGTTATGGCCCTTGATCACTTCAAAAAATCTTGTGGGTGCTCTAGAGGCTAAAGTTAATATCCAATTGACTTTAAATTTATACACAGTGTTTGAGGTTATGAGACGAAGAATCCTATTGATTTTCAGCGATTTCTGATAATTACTGACAGAGTTTTGGCCCTTGATCACTTCAAAAAATCTTGTGGAAGCTCTAGAAGCCAAAGTTAATATTTGATTTACTTTAAATTTATACACAGTGTTTAAGGTCATGAGACGAAGAAGCCTATTGGTTTTCAGTGATTTCCGATAATTACTGCCAGAGTCAGTCCATTCGAAATGATATTTTTTTTACTGGACATTTGAGCAGGTATTATTCCAACTATTACTGGACCGAATGAGATTTTACTGGTCCAAAAAAGTTCATACCAAAAATATGCATAAAATAAGTAATAATGGCCTAAAACTCGAAAAACAACAAACCGTATATATAAGGGGGAAAATACTTTACTTTATTACAAAGATTATCTATTGTATAAAGTAGGGCTGGGTATCGATAGTGATTTTTACTATCAATAATCGGCAATGAAATGTCGGTCGATAATCGATAGTATCGAAAACAAACTTATTTTCACGGTCGTCATCAAGACTGGATACAGTGTAAGTTCAAAGTTCAAAACCATACGAAGTTGCGAAAGATCGTTTGCTCCTGTCTAAGGAGATTTATTTGGAAAACATTAATAAAACTTGTTATATCACGTATATATATACGTAAATTGATGTTGTTTATTATTAAAATAATGCAGCCGTGGTTCCGAATGAAGAAATATCGTAAATAATTAAAGGACCAAAATGAACTTGTTCCGATTCAAAACATTGCGTACGTGCGCGCGAAAATATCAATATGGCAGACGAATTCTGAACACTCTGAAGCTTGCAAAGGGAAATAACTCTAACTTTATTTACACATCTGGGTATCTCCGATTTAGCGATATTCAACAATAATTTCTTCAAAACTAAAGTAACGTTTCAATGAGAGTGAATTTATGAAAACGGCTGTTCAATAAGCAGTCACAATTTTGTTATGTGTTACATTGATACTTGATAGTAATTAAAGTGAGCGGTGTATTATGATTAACTGAAAGAAAACATTGACATTTCATCAGGCGCAAGAAAAATAGACGAAGAGCGATAATCGATAGTAACCCACCGCTATCGATAGTGCTTTTCTGGGCCATCCAATCGATACTATCGATTTATATCGATATTTTACCCAGCCCTAGTATAAAGACTTTTTCGCACACTTCCTTAATTGTCATTTTGTGTTAATGATAACCATAAATAGACCGCGCAAAGAAAATATAATCCCTTAGATGACAATCGAGTCTACCAGAAGCCAATGTTATTAATACAATAAAAGGACTTTCGTTTTAGTCTGGATTAACCTAGCCTACTACTTACTAGACTAGCTCGATATACGGTACTACGTACTCGAGATAAGATTTTGTTTACATTTTAAACAATAGTGAAATTAACACAATAAATTAAATGAGAATTCAACAGTCCGTTCACGAAGTGCCGTCAGTCAGTGCCAATACGGCGATGATTTAATATTTGTAAGTTGAGTGTCCGTTAACCCGTCCACGGTTAAGGTAATACCGGTACTTGACTTGTATATTATTTAATTGATTAGAATAGATCAGTTTTACTCATTGGTTGTTTATATATATTGTTTTATATACCTAATAATCAACTAGCTTGGATCGCCATCCCGACAGCGATTAGTTCGAGTTCAAATTCTTTATTCCTTTAAGCCAAAGACTCATCAGGTATAACATATAGTACAAACAAATAAATACAATATGTACAAAAACAATATAGTTCACCGATGTTTTTGTAATAAAGAACAATAGTATTGTTTGTTGATTAGCGTTATGATTTTAGACAAAATGGTAAGTTCACCAATGAAGTAGACCCGTATTGTTTGTTAATTGACTTTATCCCATGATTTAAAAAATCGGCGATGGTTAATATTGGGTCAAAAATAATTCCTTAAATTGCGCAGGAGCCCCTTTTAGATAAATTGAATTCGCATAAAAACAACAAAGAGTGGCTACGTGCGATTTTATTCTTTGATCTTTGATACACGGGACATTTCTGTTATTTAAACAAATCTGCACGAGAATGACAACATACAAGTTGACAGTGAATAGGCTCTTCTATCGAGCCTTCAGTTATTCTTTTCTAAAATAAAATGAGTGCCTTGGATTTTTGCGTGGATTTGATAGCGGGTATACTTTACTAATATTCTCTGACATCAGAGACTTGTCGCGTTCATTTCATTTTTGCGGTAAGTACGAGCTTCTTATGTCTGATTTGAAAGCGCTTTCGACTCCCGTTGCAAGTTCTATTTGTCTTATTGTCCCCCGCCTTTCGAAGAAAGCAGGGGACTATTAAAATGGGTTCGTCCGTCTGTCTGTCCGTCCGTCTGTCTGTCCGTCACACTTTTTGGGACACAATAACTCTCTTCCTAATTGAGCTAGAATGTTCAAACTTGGTGTATGTGTTTATTAGGTCAATGCCTTGATGGAGTTCGAAGATGAGCATTTTCCGCTTAGGGTAAGCAGAGATAAGCAATTTGATTGGTTGATGCTTTGGGACATGATAACTCTCTTCCTAATTGGGCTAGAATGTTCAAACTTGGTGTATGTGTTGATTAGGTCAATGCCTTGATGGAGTTCGAAGATGAGCATTTTCCGCTTAGGGTAAGCAGAGATAAGCAATTTGATTGGTTGATGCTTTGGGACACGATAACTTTTAATTGAGCTAGAATGTTCAAACTTGGTGTATGTGTTTATTAGGTCAATGCCTTGATGGAGTTCGAAGATGAGCATTTTCCGCTTAGGGTAAGCAGAGATAAGCAATTTGATTGGTTGATACTTTGGGGCACGATAACTCTCTTCCTAATTGAGCTAGAATGTTCAAACTTGGTGTATGTGTTGATTAGGTCAATGCCTTGATGGAGTTCGAAGATGAGCATTTTCCGCTTAGGGTAAGCAGAGATAAGCAATTTGATTGGTTGATGCTTTGGGACACGATAACTTTAGTTCTAATTAAGTGAGATT